AAATTTGTTGATTGTCGAATCGAATCTAATTACAATAGACATGATACAAAATCTTATAATTTTATTGATCAAATTTGGAGTCACAAAAAGTTAATCTATTGCTATTTAGAACATTATTTTATTCTTCCAACAATTATTTCATCATCTATACAATATCTTTATATTAAGAGAGGAGGTTGGGAGTACAAGAACTTAATTACTCTCATGGAAAAAACACCTAATCTTCAATATTTTTCTACATTAGTTTCATTTTCATCTGCATGTGATAGTAATGATGAAATTGATAAAACACCACCATCATCAATGAATTTATCAATGAAAGAACTTAAATTAATTGGAATATCTTCGCCAAAATTAATGATAAGTACATTATTTCGAATGCCAAATTTAGTACATTTAAATATTGAATCATCATTTATTTATTTTGATGGAAATCAATGGAAAGATATTATTCAAAATAATTTACCAAAATTAAAAATATTTCATTTAAATATGACATATGAATATAAAAATTTAAAAAATAAAGAAAATCAAGTTGATATAATACTTGATACATATCGAGATTCATTTTGGATGGATGAACATCAGTGGTTTATGGGTTGTCTTTGGGATAATTCAAAGAATAGTTCATGGATTTGTTTACATTCATTACCATTCTCTTTTCGAAATTATTTTGAACCAAAATCTCAAAATAATTATCGAATAAAATGGATAAACTCATCATCAAATATGAAATATTCATATAATAATATTGCTTATTTAAATTATAATCGTTCACTTTTTCGAAAAAAAAATTTTTTAAATGTGAAATTTTCTAATTTACAATATCTTGATATTAAATTACCATATGACAATCATTTATTCCTAACATGTTCAAAATTTGATAATTTAATTGTATTAAGATTAAATTTATCATATAATTATTCATTATTTAAATTACAAGCATTACTTGATAAATTATCTCATTTAATTACATTAGAATTTCAATCATGGTTAACAACAGAAGAAATACCACCTTTCAATTTAACTAGTAAATCAGTTCGTCGTTTAAATTTAAATGGACGTAATGAATTAAAACATTTTCATTGTTTTAATCGTCAACAATCGATTAAATTAAGTAAATCGCCATTAGGTATTCAGTGTCAAGTGCTCCATATTGAAGTGAATGATGTATTAGCAATACTTGAACTTGCATTTAAAATGTTTAATTTACGGACACTTCATGTCAGATACGACAAAGATCCACGAAATCAGAGACCTGAACTTATCGATTGGTTGCAGTATCATTTACCATCAACCATGATTGTAACCCAAAGATGTTATGGGGAATATATTATTCAGCCAAAGATTTATTAAAAATATGTCCTTTTACTTGTTGAATATTGTTTTTTTCTCAAATAAAAATAATCATACAAAATTGTTTGATACTTGACGTATTCATTTCTCTTGTGTTATATTGACAATATCGAAATTTTTCTAACAAAAAAAACGAGTATTCATTTAAATATCATATCCGATGGACTTAAGATTTGTTATATACACCTATTGATTGAGAGTTTTCGTCTATGCTTTAAAACCAATTACTTAAATTCGCTGTTTTTTTCTTTTTAACTTGAGAACAAGTAGTGCTCGTGCGAGGATTCACTGAGCTTTTTCTCCAGTATTCTTTCCTACACTTATAAAAACAGATATCAAATTCGAGTTCCTTAACCCCGATTAGCCCTTAGTTAAGTTTTATGTAAAATAGTTTCATTTATTTTGATCGTTTTCTTCGGCCAATCAATAAAGTGCAGGCATACAAGCAAATAATTTATTTTTGCAAGACTCTTCTACGAGCAAGTAAATAAAAACCTTATCAATTTGTTCTATATAAAAAGAAATATTAATTTTTCAAAATAATTTCATGTTTATCCATTCTTTTTCGGCATAATTTCATTTCAAATGATCAGACTTAATGGAAGTTTATTTTTTTCTATCAGATTTATACAATTATTATCGACATTCTATTAAATTAATTAATTTTCAATATTCTAACTTAAGTATTTATATATATTTTAATGGAAGAGATAGTCGAATTAAGAAAAAGCAAATTAAAAATCCATCCTTTACGAGATTGAGATATATATACTGTTATTTACTATTATGTGTATATGCATTATTTTTGTGTTAATAGAAACTAAACAATAAGATAAAAGAAACAAAAACTATTGATCATTGATTCGATCTTACAAAATAATAATTCTTTTATTTTTGAATTAATTTTTAACAATTAATCAAGTATTAAGCAAAGGAAAATAGATATGAAAATCTTTCGAACTAGTAATATCTGAATAAATAATTCATTTTTTGATATTCATACAATTATGACGCGTTTCTTCTCTTGCAAAAATCTTCATAGAAAATTCTTAATTGAGCTAGACATGGTAAATTAATTTTACTTTCATTTAAGAATTGTTCAACAGAACGAGTACCACGAACATTCGTAATACAAAGCGAAGAAAGGTAAGGATATCGAACAGTTTTGTGAGATGATGATTAATTTGATACCTATGACAGTGGTGTAGGGTGGGTGTGGGTGTGGATGTAGAATGAATACAATACCTACACCACGCTGATACTGACTCCCACACCCTCAAGCATCCTTCGGAGCTTACGTCTACTCTCAATTATTCGACACCCCTGTCAAACTGGAAATTGCAAAAGAAAAAACGCATATTATATACCTTCTTTTATAACGAAAAACATATAGTTGAAAATTTTCACTGGTAACTTGATATTTCACCGTCAAAAAGTCTCTTATCAGCCATCAATAAAAACATGTAGTCATTTACATTCTTCAAATGGTAATAAAGCAAAAGACAAAAAAACTCGATAATGCGAGTAGTAAAAAGATAAACAACCGAAGAAACAGAAAGTAAAATCTTTTTTTTATGAGCGTTTGGGTGTGGGTGTGGATGTGTGAAGATATGGGTATCAGAAGACTGTAAAACCCACACCCTAAAGAGTTCACGAATATCAGAGAAAGACAACGAGAAAAATCAAGGCTTGAACCAAATAGGACGAATTTTCATCTCTGATGTCTTTAATGAATAATAATGGCCTCTAAATGCTTTCCAGTTCACTCCTATGCCTTCAATATTCGGATGGTCCCCACGTAAATATCTACCATTCAAATTTGAATCGATACAATGACTATACCACCATGCACCATTGAATCTTTGAGCACATGAATTCGAATGTTGATCATTATCTTGATCTTTGGTTGAAAACTGCATACCATCCTGATCACTCAGTGAATCTCCTGCATCACCTTTGGTGTACGATCCAAGTGATAGTCGATATTTGTCTTGTTCATTTGACGTTCGGAAACTATAATACTGAGCAAAACGTTTTTGTCCACCAAAATCTTCCATGTCAACTCTTAGTTGATAAAGATCTTGGTTTGTCAACATTGACAAACGATCATTGCCGAGCCAGAATTGTCGATGAAGATCTCCAAAACCTCGCTTATATTCTAGCCATGTCCGATAAAAGTCTTCTTGTGGAATGAAATCACCTCGCTTCTGAAAGACTGTCCATCCACCACCATCTGTCTCCATGTCACACCATACTTTTATTGGTTTACCTACAAGTATAGCATCGTAAACTTCGTTAAGCCCTCTACTGACAGCTGTCTACTGCAATGGAATTCACACTTCCTTTTTCTTCATCCCTCTGTTGAATGAAATTGTCCCTTATCCCTCCATCTTTTCCTCTCCTACTTCCGTATGTATATGTGAATGTTATGTACAAAGAAGCGAATATCTGCCCGTTTTCGATGCAGTCACTTGGTAAATAATCCTCCTTTCAGTAATGAAAATGATAATTAGTATACAAACAATAGAGAAGATGAGAAAAGCGAAGGTTCAAACCTTGTCTTGGCCATATCTCATAGACACCAGTAGCGGTATCTTGTTGGGATGCTATTGCATTGAGATAAACTGCAGCACAATCTTCAGGATAATGACTAAAATGCATGTTATCATTTGATTTGAGTTGAATGAGAAGTGAATCGTTGGAAATTAGACCACGCGCTAAGTCAGCGTTAATATCATATCCATTCACTACTTCAATCACCATCACCAAAAGTATTATGCATTTCAATGTCATCTTTGCTCTTAAACGTCGATAATGCGAAGTAAGTACTACTTCTCATCGAATATTTATAGTAAGAGAGAGAAAGAGACAAGTATGTGAGCTATTAAGTTTTATGAATGACTATTTCAATGATTATTCACCAAAAGGAATTGTGTTGAGAAGTAATGATGGAGCATTATTTGGACAAATATGGTTGTAGATAAGAAATGTCTTTATCTCAGATATTTTATTGTCTATTTGAAAAGTGAATGACGCGAATGTTAGCTATATGGGTTCCCTTTCTCTTCGAAACTCGTTGAGGTGGTTGTGGAAGGTGTGGATGTGATATTTCAGAGGCTCCCGCACCCTCAAGAATCTATAAAGCAGGCCGTTCTCCACACAGATCAAAAGTGATTGGGTTCAAGTTTTCTCTATAATCATCGCAGACCACAAACGGTAACATAATTCATTAGTTAATGACCTATTGTCTGAAAATAGCAAATTTCATTGTGTTTCACTTTTTTAATCTCACAGAAATTGTACAAACAGCTTTTTTCATAGAAAAAGTCAAAATTAGATATCGTCTGTTGTTGACTTTTTTGGATTGATTTTTCAATTAATCATAATTTTTTATTCATCCATTTGGTTTTATTCAATATTTAGTAATAAAATAGACGACATTGATTGTTTTTTTCATATCAATGAAAGAAATATTTGCAAATTTTGATTCAGTTAATCATAATATTTTATTATTATTTATAACCTCAATAATTTATGATTGAAGGTGAGGTTATGAGTGTATTTTCTACTATTCAATCACCTATATCTTAAATTGTTCATGTTAATGATAGATCTGATAAGTTTCGAGTGAAATACATTCGAATTCTTTTCTATATTAAAAAATGTCCTACTTAGATACTCATTTTTTTTACTCCTCCTAATTCTAAGAGTTACTTAGAAAATTAATATTAATTGTTCTGGTTTTTTTGGACAACTACGATGAACTTTTATTCTCAAAGCAAACCATTCATTGGTAAGGAAGTTTTAATGGAATTCTATAAATAAAACTCGTGTTTATCTACTGAGTACGCCATCTATAGTATTATTTCACTCGCTGGTGTGTTCGTTCGTCTATTGTTCTCAAACTCAATATGACTCATTCATCAATTATTCTTTTTACCATTTTTTTTCTATTACACGAACGCACACTTGTTCTTCATCTTGTTTGTCTCCAGTTTTGTAGATCAAATCCATTTACTATGCTTCGTTCTCCACGTGTTCTATTCTTTCATGGTCTTGAATCTGGTATCCATGGTCGAAAAGCACTTTATCTGGCTGAACATTTTCCTAACTCTTATACTCCAAATCTCAAACCTTACTACTTACTTCCAGTGTCTCTTTGGAAAGCCATCAAAGCCATCTATAATTTTAAACCTGATATTATTGTTGGAAGCAGTTTCGGTGGATTTATCGCTATGCTTTTACTTCAAGCACGAGTGTGGAATGGACACACAATTTTATTGGCACCCGCAACTGGTCTTCTGTTTAAGAAGAGACTCTGGTTACCCAATGATCATAAGAAAAACATTATTATTGTAGCTGGAAAAAATGATACAACTGTACCTTTAGACGTATTAACACCGTTACAACAATTGTCACTAGATAACGTACGGTTTTTGGTGGTCGAAGACGATCATCGACTAAATCAGTCAATGATCGAACAGAATCAGCTAAGAGATTTAATCAATAACAATTATCAGTCGACTGTAGCTACTAATACGATCAATAATTATTTCCATTGCGTAAAATTATGGCTCATGTGTATGCTTTCTTTAACCATGTCATTTATTCGAGAACCATTCACTCTTTATAACACAATTCAACGGCTTCGCAAGCAGAAAAAAGCAATCATCGAAACAGACGAACGTTAAATATAACTTAGTTAACAAATCATATCAAGATGTTAGGAAGGATGCAATTTTTTTTGTTTTGTTACTAAAATATTTTCTATTAAAAAACATTCTACTAAAAGTAAAAAGGGTAAAAAAAAAAGAATCTGGCATGCAACAAGGAATAAACAAACTTAAGTTTCAGAATATGTGGAACTTTGCATCTCGTAGGGTATTTTCCGTAAAATGTGCATTAGAGATATACCTTATGCTAGAGTTATGGTCCAACCAATAACAGTATATTTCACCATTTCTAACTCGATCTTTACAACTTTTATAAAAATTGACTGAGATACTAGAAGTCTCGAGAGTGAGTGTGGGTGTGAATAGTTCTCTCTCACCCACACCCTCAAGTTCATAAAGACAATAAGGAACACCTAGAGTAAGAAGAACTTGAAATAACAATCACGCACATCTGGAATATATACTGAATTGTGATTTTTAGCCCATCTAGGCTTATAATTCTGACTTTTCCAATCCTCCATTAGAATCCATACGACCTATACCAACAGATTTCTTACATCTGATTTTTTGTGCTTCACTTGGCATTGAACGAGGTGAATACCATTGCTTTGCTCCGTTTGTTATATCATTTATTTTTCCTGCTAAAATATCTTGAGCCAGTTTGATGACACTAGGTGTTGGACGTTGATTAGATGCATGATTTCTATTCCGTTGACAGGCAAAACTAATAGCTATCTGTTCATTTCTATTACCAGTTGATGCTTCAGACATAATACATCGTGCTAAAGCATCGACATTCATTGCTCCATGTGTTATCATCTTGAGGGTGGGTGTGGGTATGGTTATCATCAATATGATACACCCACACCCTTGATTTTTGAACAATTCTTGCTGGAATATATTTTGTTTTATCAGAATTAAATAATAAGTTTTTTAAATCATTTTCAGCAGAAAGTTTAGAAAGATTTTTCACAAATTCTATTTGACAATTTGATCCAAAACGTGAAGAACTATTTACTCGTTTTCGATTATATTCAACTTGAAGATTTGCACGATGAAATATAAATACATAATTAAGATATGGTGGTAATTGCCTTTGTTTTAAAATAATTTTTATTGAACCAATAAAATAATTTTTAAGATCATTTTTTCTTATTTTTTATATAAATTTAATAAATATAAGATTTTCTTTAAATCAATTTCGCATTGATTATTTTTTTTTTATTATAAAGTCATTGCGTTTGTTATTCTCTGTTTATTAATCTTATTTTAAATGTAAAAGAATAATTAAATAAAATAAATTTACTGATAATTTGCTATTTTTTAAATAAGTTTCTTTATTTATTGATTGATGATTTGACGGTGCTGGTGGTGTGTCAATCATATTTAATATTTGTTCATAATTTGAAGATTCACATTGACTATTATTCATAAAAATATCATATAGAAAATCTTTTGATGAAAAGAAATCTTTTCTAAAATTTATTCATTTGCATCAATCCTTCAAATAGAACGTACTCATTAATATTAGTAAGAAATGATATATTTTTATCTAAATAAATAAATTTTAAAAAATATTCTTAAATAAAAAGAAAATATTTTTAAATAGTTTCATCATTATAGAAATTCAAATTAATTGACTCATCTTTATTTAAATTTGAAGATGATTTACAATGACATAAAAAAGAATTTTTATTAAATTGATCATAAAAGCAAAATGAATTGATTCAGATAAAATTTCATCTTGAGTAAAACTTTGTTTGCATACTATTTACCAATAGAAATATAAGTTAGATTGAATATCACACTAACTTCTCTGCATAATTTTTTTCACAAACTGATGAAACTGACTTACAATACATATTCACATCGAATGACAATAATTTACAACATATATATTTGTTTTCTATGATAAAATCATCAGGGTCGACGACAAAAGAAAAGACTAATATTTGAGAGAATATTTTTCAGTTCTGCACGAAATGTTTTTGATACTAAAATATTTGTATAACAACCAATACTACTATCAATAAAATACCAAAAGTATGATAATTGTAGAAATGATTGTTCAATAATTTGTTGTTCTGAAGATTTTTGATTATATTGTGTAATTTGTTGATAAATAAGTATAATTGTAACTGGAAATTTAAAAATAATAAAAGCAATAATATCTACAAGTAACATGCGAATAAGTTGCCTATCTTTCGATTGAATTACATATGGTCTACCGATGTTTACATGTTCTCTATTTGTAGCATGAGTGATTGGTAATCTACGTTGAACATTACGAACATTCTTCACTGTCCACAATCCAAATATTGCCATTAATAAAGGTGGAATAAAACCATTAACAATAAGTGCATGATAACCCATAAATGTTGTATATGTACCTGGTTGATAAAAACAAACAAAATAATTAGGTCCATATTGTAAAATTTCCATAAATAATAATCCATGAATTTCAACGATGGCATAAAATAAAATCAAACTAATCAAACTTGTAATAATCAAACGACGTGTACTACGTTGTCGAGTTTCAACATTTTTTGAAGTGATTAATGTACGATCAATTGATGCTAAGATAAGACAGGTTGGTTGTGAACATGTCAAAACAAATGAAATATAGAAACGAAATCGACAAAAACCAATACTACTGATACTTAAATCAGTATTATAACCAACTGCAAGTATTGTTAAAAGAAAACCCAAATAAAAATAGATAATATCAACAATATTTACAGCTATTAAACAGATTGTACACGGATTTTTTCGTAAACTATTCTTAGTAAATACCATTAAATTTAATATACAACCAATAGTTCCAATAAATAATACGATTGGGCCACCAAATTTTAATACATTTTCTTGAGTTGAATATAATACTGTTGATAAAGACATTTTTGAATTGGAAAAGATAAACAGAATGATTCTTTTATATAAAAGTTTTCAAAATAAATGTCACTTTCATAATAAATATTTTAAATTAAAAGTAACTGTCAACGTTGACTGATTTATGTCTTATTGTATTAGTTGTAAATATTAAGAAGATAATGTGCTTTTAGAATAATTCAATGAAGTGACAATGAATAGAATTACAGATTGATGGCTTGTATTTTTAATCTTCAGGTTATAATGTGACGTCATACGTCATCTTCATTTGTTTTATCTTATACACATTTTTGTGAATGTAAAACGCATCATATCGACGTTAATACTAAGTTTGATCCATATAGTATCAATAGTTAATTTAGTAAGAAGATTTTCGAAAGAAAAACTATGTTGAAACTTCTTGTTTGTTATATGTCCATCATGGAAATCATCCATTTTTAAACTCCATGATCACTTATCTTTTCACTTCTTATATTTACAAAACAATTACGTGCAAAATTTTCTTTTTTATTTCGTTTTTCAAAAATAATCAGCCTATATCGTTCGTCGACATTCGTTTAACTTCTTCCAAGTTGCCATAATTCCATGATAGTGTGATGTAGCCAGGTTATTCAAAGGATTTTGGCCTGGACTGCTCGTATATAGCGACTGATATACGATTCCATGAATGCTCACTAAACTACCAGAAGTATATTTTTCACTGGCATCCCATACTGGTGGACATGTTTCAGGATCGTTTTCTGGTGATCTGGTAGCTGTAGTACAAAGACCTTTCCAATTGTCAAAGTCTGAATCATAGCTTGTATTTCGATGACGAGCAAAACATTCAACAGCAGCTTTGTCGCATTGACAACTGTGATAATCACATGTTTTTATTGGATCGGTACATTGAATTGTGTGATTAGCCAATGTCTTGTAATCATAAATTCTCCAGAATGGATCACAGCCATGGTTGATCTCAACAGCTTCCCAACATCTATCATGGATTTGACAACAACGATCTGTTTCATCGACGACAAGATCACCGCGATTACCTTTACCACACCTTCAATGAATAAATAAATGTATCGTCTCAAGCATTGCTTAGTCCACATAAAGAGAAAATTATCTTACCAACAGCCATAACCGTTGTAGCCTAATGGGTTGCCCATACCGCTGAGAATCATATTACCGAATTGAACGAAATTACGATTTTGATTAGCCCTTGGACTTTGACCATTACTATATGGCATACCATGACTGACAGTCAGGCAGACAATGATAATAGTGAAAAGTGAAAGAATGTATTGAAAATTGAAGATTGACATGGAGTTAGATTGAATGAAGAAAAAAATACTTTTCACAGCATATATATATATTTAAAATTGAGGATTAGTTTTCAATGATATATATGTTTCGCGGAAAATACTGATAGAATAGAATAACTTTAATGAAAGGATTAGGTATATGTCTCTTCAGCGTTATTATTTGTAGATTGATAGACACTTGAGTATAGTTTCATATTACTGATTTTTTGTTTTCGTAAAAGCAATAGTAATCCTGTAGTATAGATCGAAGGATCATTATACACATCGCCGAAATGAATGTCTGAAACTGTGTGGTATTTTGATGATGCCGATTCGACGATGAAGTATACAATCATATTGAATGAATGTCAGTTGACAGAAGTTTGCTAGTTGATATTCTACTACTCAACATGATCAATTGTGTATTATCTTGAGGGTGTGGGTGTGGATGAGGGTATGGGTGAGCAGAGGAGACATCCACACCCACACCTATCGCATCGATACCAAATGCTGTCACAATCAAATATATATATATATATATAATACTGGTTTCAAGAGCAATTGTGAATCTACATTGACTTTGATTGCAGCTGTGAGCATCGTCTAAGAGTAGGTTTTCATATGGTTTGAATGAGTTGAAATATTTTTGAGAATGAACAGAAGAATAATGATAAATACGTAGATATTCCACATCATATAACAAGATTTTTTTTTTTGGTGAATTAGTTAACTAATAAAATAACCTTTTTCTTTTTCTTCTGCTTCTTCTTTGTCTTCGGCTAAAACAAAATCGCACTTGTTGAAGATTTTCTCTCTTATTCATTTCTTCCAACACAATACAAAGAGAAAACTAGTTTCCTAGAGAAGGTTTCGTTCGTTGTAGGTATGATAAGAAATTGATTATTTAATTCGATATTTTTCATTGAATTTCATTCTTTTCGAAATTCGACAACACAGAATGGCATTTAACTTCGACATGATCCTTTTCTTATTTTTGATTTTATAGAGAAACCTTTGATTTTAGTAAAGAAGAACGTGATGAAGGGAAAGAAGAAATAATCAAAACCTGCCTTAATCATCGGACATGTATTTGGTGAAAATAAGATATCAACTATCATTGTCAATAAATAAGTCATTATTAGTTTGATGTCTTTTTTTATTTGACTCCGTTAAATAATCTGCTTTGTCAGGACTTACTTTTAATCACGTTCTTTATTTCTCTATGCGCAATAAGTATCTATCGAAAAAAGTTTTTTCTTTGAGTATTTGGATCTTTTTAAAATAAAAACACATCAGATATATAAAAAGCAGAAATGAGGGTGGATCTAAATCTGGATGAGGATGTGAAGTCATCTTTTATTTATCCACATCCACACTCTCACGTCTCTTCCTCACCTACATCGCCACCCACCTTTTTTATCCTTACCATGAGATCTTTTCGAAGAATAAAAAATGTGATTTAAATACCTTTTCCACTTATTTTCTTCGAATATACGTGCCAATATCTCGATTTATTCATTATTTTTCTTGAGCAGTTCATACAAGAGTGATGAACATCACGTATTGTTTTTTCATGAGATCGTATTTCTTTCATGTTATTTAATTCCAATAAAATGTCTGCTAGAGAGAGAAATAAAAGTAATAAAGGCAAATATCAGAATCTCATCATAAACGTTCGTTGAACAAAAGTATTCAAATGGCAATCTCTGTTTTTAACAGTGGTCAGAAGACAACAAAATTTAATTGCTTGAATTTGGTGAAATTATTCTTATCTGCACTGATTCCATTAACTATTGGTCTGTTCACTGTCATCACTACAGTTCAACAGCAAAAACTTTCTTCTGCACAGCGTGAATACGACAAACAGGATGCTATTCTCTTGCGACAACAGTCTGATACTCAAGCAGAAAATTTACATAAAGAAAAAGTGTACGCCACCTATCTTGATGACGTCTCAGAACTGTTCACAATGAATAACAGCAAAGATACGTTGATGAAAATTCGCGCTAAAACGTTGGCCAGTCTTCGACAACTCGATACGGAGCGGAAAAAACATTTACTCATGTTTCTTTATGACATTGAATTGGTTTATCGTTCACCTGAAAAGACAATTTCATCCGTATTGAAAGTCGATGAGGCTGACTTCAATGGAGTCTATTTTCGAGGAACAGTAGACGCTAGCTGTTCGTTTAGGTACTTCTACTTACATAATGTTTATTTATCGAACGCATCGTTTATCAACTGTTTCATTGATCGTTCAAACTTTTCTTTTTCCATCATGTACAATATAGTTTTTATCAAAACGCGATTCTTACGAACATCTTTCAGATTTGCATTGTTAGACAAAGCAGATTTTAGTGAGGCGACATTTTTCGAGGTGAATTTCGTTGGTGCATCGCTCGTCGAGTGTAATTTTACTGGTGCTAGATGGGTTATGAAAGATACTGATTTAATAGGTACAAACTTAACCGGAGCAATTATACCAGACGAGTTATTGGCAAAATCGGAACTGTACAATTCTATCCTGCCTAATGGAACATGGGGGCCTATTCTAGACAAAAATCTGGTGGTTAATGGTGATGCCGAGCAAAATGTAAGCATATGATTTACTAATTTTCTAAATTCTACAAAAAAGTCAGTACAAATCCGATCTTTTTTCTGGATATCACAAGTTTTGAATATTTTATTACTCGAAAATCTACTGTTCACCTCATGAATAAACTGATTCGAAGTAGAGATGTCTATAGAGGCGCGGCAGTGATGAGTTGTTTTCGATCATGTCACGGTGGCAGCTGATTTTCAACCGAGATGGACATCGCTGATTCGGAATACATTAAATGTCTACTATTTTCTATTATTTACGATGATCTAGTTTAATCAATAGATCACGAATAATAAATTTTCTCGACTCATAAGATTTTATTTTTCAGAATCCGACAACTGACAGTACGCATCTGACTAGCTGGAGTGTCTCGGCTCCTGGAAGACTAAGTTTCGTTGCGTACAACAACCAGAATTCTACGGCACACTTCGGAAAGTACTATTTTCGAGTGACACCATTATATACTTTACAGCAATCCGTATCCATGTCCCAGAATATTTCTTTTGACGAGTTCATTATATTGATCTCAGCTGGTATTGCCCGCTACAATGTATCCGCCGATTACCAATGTTGGGGCAACCAATACGGCTATATACAACTCACCTTTGTCGATATGAATGGTTTAACATATGATCCTATCTATCAAGGTAAAACAATATCACAAAAACTGATTTCTGCTCTAGTTCTTTGGCACTTTTTTGTTTTATTATTTAGAAACCAAGAATAAAATACACATCGAACATCTGAAAGCATCATATCAATTTAATCGTGAGATGCACAAAGTTCAGCTAAAAGTTGGATTCATCAGAAATTTGACATACAATAATATCAATGCAATTAACGAAGAAAACTATTGTATCGTTGACAATATCCAATTTTTTATTTACAAAACTGCCGAGTGACGAATAGAAATGCTACTACGAATGATGAACGAGTAACTTTCTTATAGTTTTCTAATCAAGTTAAGATGGCTTTACTGTGGGAAGACTATTGCTTAGTTTTCTCACACAAAATAGGCATGAGAAAAGTATTGTTCTATAGAGCAAAAGCAGGTACTAATGTAGATTCTGACTTACGTGATTATTGTATCAGATTCACTTCAAGTAAATCATAAATGAAGGGTGTAGCTGTGGGTGCAATTATTCGGATAAGAACACAGGGAAACCAACAGATATAGAAGCTTGGCTGATCATCATACATGTTAATAAACAACCTTAACCAAGGAAGAAAGCTGAAATTTTTTTATTTCCCTGATTGCTCTTCAGTGACTGTTTATGAGTCTCAATGAATACTAAGATTCACTCGAATCGAAAAAACATCGATCCAGATTATTTCCCATTATCTAAATACTTGTGTCGTTTAACATCTTACAGATGTTGAGGTTTTACTGTATCATCTCTGTAGAAAATATGATTTTAGGCATTCCAGAGCCGGTGTATATGAATGGTACCGGCTTAACTTAGAAAAACATTCGCGACTCATATTCGTTAAAGCTATGCATGCTGTGAGAGATTGTTCAATTTATTTTGAAAAGAGAAAAATGTGTGGACATAAACTGATAAAATAGAGATCTATTTAATTTATCAACCATAACGCGCTTTGGACGATCCTCAAACAAAGTGTGTTTTATGTATGAGATTGGAGATATATGAGGGTATGGATGTCATGTATTTGGTACTTAGACTTATACTCACACCTACACCCTACACATTGTTAATACTGATGCATATAAGAATAGATCATTCTCTTTAAATATTATATTTATAAACATTGAAACTTCATATTGATTGATATATTTTAAGAATTGTTGCAGAAAAATACAATCTTTCATCATGATGAGCAAACATCATTAATACGCATTTGATTGTCTAAACAATGCAATAAACAGAATTCGAAAAAACTCTCTTATTCATATTTGAATAAAGAAAATGAATATTACTTAGAAAACTCGCTTAAAAAAATGTCTGAAAAATGAATCTTCTGGAGATGTTTCCATCATCTATTAATTTTATCAAAGATTTGATTATATTCATCGAACAAAAATCACATAAAAGAACGTGAGAAAATAGAGTCATGACAAATAGTTTAGTTAAAGAATACATGTTAATGACGTCAATCATTTGTTGATCATTGAAATTGATATCTTATTTTGATTTTAATCATGCCTAAATATTAACACAAAGTTTGGAATGAATTCTCGTTTTTTGTCACGTCTTTTATTTTAAAAAGGGATATTTTCAAACAACATTCATTGTTAAAAGATTGAATTTAATGATGTTTTCTTTCTCAAAATTTAGAATAAAATCATGTAATGAATTGGCAATTAAATCTAAATAATAATAATCAAAATTATTAATGATGAATCTTCTCTCGAATTGTACCATTGTTGTTTTTATTTTCTATATGATATTTTTTGATCATTAGAAGAGAAAGAAGAAATGAAGAACTAATCTCACTTGTTTTTCCCGAACAAGAATATCCATCGTGTAGTCGATAATGATCAATCATATATTAGGCTATCATTATTATTTACCACTCATCACTTTTTATTGTATTTAACTTAAGATGATCTTGAGGGTATGGGTACGGGTGCTTGTATTCTTCTCATACATTATCCACACCCACCCCTTTCTTTACTTATCTGTTTTACACATAGATAATGACAAGTTAAAAACTCAACACGTGTTTTTTCTTTTCAGTATCAAATTTCATTTTTTTTCACATTTCTTATCTGCTTAGTTAAGATATGAGAATTCATTAGAAAGAAAAGTTTTTGACAAATATTATCGTCTATGAGTATTATTTCACCACAAATAAAATTCCTCTTATCAGATGATAAATATGATCTCGCACATGTATGAGTAAGAAAAGTAAGAAAAGAATTGTCAAATAACCAGAAATTGTATGTCTTTTTTATTATGCGAGTTTAAACAAAGTAAAATACATATACATAAATATATTGAATTTAGAGTCTCGATTATTCACTTGCGATATTATAAGACTGGTGGAGGTGGTGGTGGAATGATTGTCGTAGTTGGAGGTGGTGGTGGAGGTGAATGACTACAATCGAAGCCACTATATCCATTGATGCATGAACATAAACCATAACCATAAGCTCCGATTGGTTTACAAATACCTTGCGCTTCATTTGTACATTGATTTTCACAATAAACAGTAGCTGTTTTGTTGACATATTGTTCGAGTGCTTGCATAATATATTCTGCTTTTTTTTCAATATTTGTGTCATTCGGAAAGCGCTGAGGTGTAATTAAATCAAAGATAGATTGAATAGTATACTTAATTGTAACTGGATTGTTCTGAATTGTAGTAAACCAATCGTTGAGATTTTGCTCATCCTTATACGGCGCACCACCTAAAAAGATTTATTTTTAAGAATGCTAGATTGCTGGAACGTAAAACTTACCAACTGTCGTCGCCATTGATGATTTAACATAGCGTTGAAATGATTGAAGTTTAGTTGAATTTTCACTTTCATTTTCATTATAATTAAAACTAAATATTTTACTGAAGGATAAACCAACCATTTGTGAAGCACTAATTCCTTCCGTTTCCATTGGTGCTACTGATGATGTTTCTATCACTGTCAACATTTGTGCAATTCCACCTAATAATAATTCAGTAATGTATGTAAAACCAAAATAATTAAATATATAATCTTGAATATATTTTTCTATGACGGGAGTGTACGTGCCAGTTACCGGAAGATTTTCAATCACATAACGAAAATTATCGGACAATTCTAGTTTTGGTGCAAATAATGACAATTTTACTGTAGATACTCTAGCATAAGTATGGTATACAATAGATTCATCTCGATAGATATGATTCATCATATATGTTGATTGTCGAGATTGACCATAACTGGCAGTGAGTGAAATTATAGGTGGGATCAATGGATTGGTAAAAGTGATACCACCACCAATATTCCAGCTCATTCCTTCTGCTGTACTTTCTTTGAACTCTTTTACATTGGAAATTTTCTGTGTTTTCTCACGTACTTCTGTCGATGGAATGCAATCAAGCTAAAAATTAGTCGTTAATAATATAGATGTGACAGATGATTTATCGGCAGTCTTACTTCAATATATTGTGGAATCAATTTTGTCGTACATGAACCAGTGGGTGGATTAGTATAATCCAATTTGAAAATACTTCGACCAAATCCACTCATATGACAATCACCAGTGTAACAGATAGGATCACCAGTTATCTATAAAAATTACAAATAAAAACTTTGCTATGTTAATTTCATTACTATCTTACAGGATTATATCCTAATCCGATTTTATTCGAATTCGGTAACCATTGCATATTTTCCATCTCCGCAGTTTGTCGCATATCAAGATGTTGACCAACACGATCATAGATATTCCAATGTTCCATTTCTTCCCATTCAGAATCACTAACAATTCTGTAAGCACATGATTTATTGAACATCATCATCATAACGATAAATAGAAGAGTAAATGTAATCATTTTTTGAGAGCACATTATTGATTGTAGAATGTAACTTAGTATAGAATATATGATCAATTTCAGACTAATTTATACCATCTGTATCTCGCTGTGATATCACCAATTGCGCACATGATTTTTGAGTATAAGTATTATTTGATACGTAATTTCCAAGTAAAACACTCTCAAGTTTCGACGAAATCAATAGATTAAAATAATCCGTACTGACTCAATCTCATATAAACTACCTAGATAAGAAAAATAAAGAATCATTATAGCAAATATTTATATTTGAGAATGATAAAGAAATTGCGTTGTACACCTCCTTTATATTGTTCGTGAGTCGTGCAGTATTTTTTACATTATAAAATGAATTTCAAAACTATATTCTATTGTCTATTCGTTGTACTACATATAACTGATGCCCTTCCAGTCAACTTTAGTTCTGATCAATTGAACATTGATTGGTTAATTAACAGTAATAAAATCGCTCTTGGTTATAACCCATCACGTGGAAATCCAATATGTTATTCAGGGGATTGTGTTATGAAAGGATTTGGTGCTCCTGTATTCAAATTGCAATATACTAAACGTCCAATTGGCTCTTGTTTAGAAAAACTTTTACCTGAACATATCGAAGTAAATAGAAATCATTTATTTTTTCTAATAATTGTTTCTTTAAAACAAAGGTTACTTGTATACCAGCATCTGAAGTAAATGCAAAAACTGAAAAGATCAGTACATTTTATGAATATAAAGAAAGTTACAGTAAAAGTGAAAGTTCAGGTGTAAATTTAGGAATAGTCAATTTTGGTTCATCCGATGAGACATCATGGATGTTGGATAATATTTATAAATACAATTATACAATGTATTATACATATGTAAGAATGTCATTTGTAAAATTAATGCTTTTTGCACCTCGTTTGGATTTAACGGAAGAATTTCAAGCTGTTATTGCTGCTATGCCATGTTGCCATATTGGATGTGAAACAACCGAATCATATATTCAAAAATCAATTTTCGATCAGTTTGGATATACTTATCTCAATGAAATTCTCCTTGGTAATTAATTCCTTCTACATAGAGACAATATAAATTTTATTTTTAGGTGGAGTAGCACAGCAATTAATTACAATCAATAGTTCTGATATCGAAAAAATCTATGAAGAAGGTCATAACAGTGCAAGTCAAGCAGGAGTTTCATTTGGTATTTCTTTTGGAATGACGGAGAGTGAATCTCATAACAAAGGAAATCATACTAAATTTATGAAATATGTTCAGAATGTTTATGCATCAACGGCAGGTGGTCAACCATTCGATAATTCAATACAAAATGAAACAGTAAAAACGATGCCATTGAATGAATGGTTTACGACTGTACCTAACAATCCAGTAATCACTCAAATGAGAATGACAAAATTATCAGAATTACTTACCAAAGAAAGATTTCCAAACGATACTCAGATTGAAGACAAGGCACGACTTATAGAATTAGTATGGGCTAAATATGATGGAAATCAGGCACTTGCTAAATGTGTGAATGATTGTACGAGTCCATGTCATGGAAGATGTGTCTCTACAGGTTACTTCCAGTTTGGTTTGTGTGTCTGTCAGGCTGGCTTTACTGGACATGATTGTTCGATAAGACTTTTCTAATATCAATTGTAATTGTATTGTATATTTTCTTGAGGGTGGGGGTGAATGATGGTGAGTACACACCCACATCCTCAAAAATTTAAAGAGTTTCTTGTTTATTCAAAAGAAAAAAAAGTTAATTTTTGACATTCTAGATTAATAAGTTTTATTGTACAATTACGAATAAGTTCTTCTGAATCAATTAAATATTTCACTGATTCAAAGAAATCTCTACGTTGCTTTGAAATACATAATAATGATAAGTTTGATTCTCGTAAAATAAATCGAACAATTGATTCTAAATCAATTTTATGTAAATTAGTTGTTAAAGATTCCATTTGAGAAAGAAGAAGAATACATAATTTGATTTTATCTAATGTTAGGGTGTGGGTGAGGATGTGACTAAATATAGATGAATGTCTGTATTTACACCCATCCTCAAACGCCTTTCTGTATTTTTCCCCTTAAGTTGTTTCGAGCACCCAAAGTCTTATCATTTTCATATTTCAACTTTTTTTCTTCGATATTTTTATATTTCGACATTTTTACTTTCGACCTTAGTTGGGAGAATCAAAATATAACTCACATTTTCGATCCTATCCTTACAGTCTAGAGAATATCTCTCAGACAATTTTTCACACTGATATAATTAATAGATTTTTCAATAGAATATAATTCTAGGTATAAATTTGTATCTTATGTCATCCTTTGTCTAACTATTCTCTATACATGATAATCATAATCAGAAATTCTATGTTGATGAATATAAAAATAATTACATATTATTCATGATAAATTTTTACAAAGGAAGTTTAACATATGAGCTCGACATGACACCAATGGTTCAAATAGGATTTGAATAAAATATTTAATTATTATTTCATATCGTAAACCTGAGAAAGAGAATATCACGTGAATATCTGTTTTCCAAAAGCATTCTAATAAATAGAAAGTATGAATATATGTGAATGCAACTATGTGTAAGTAATCTATTTTATCATGCATAATTATAATCTCAGACGAACATAACGTATTATTAAAATACATCAAAACATGATGGGAATATACCGTCTGCTTTTGAAGTTCAAAACAAGTGAAATCAGTATTCTTTTAATTATTGTGAAAGTGACTATTAAAAATGTCAGTTGATAATAACAATGAAACTTTCGATTATGAAGATAATACTTATCCTTCATTGGAAAGTTCGTTCAGTCGATCAATTAAATTTAATATTTTGATTAGTTGTCAAATTCCTTCCATTATTTGCAACTTGATTATATTCTTTTATTTTACTCGTTTACGAGAATTACAAACAAAACGACATCATCATGCGTAAGTATTTTTCTTAGATTTCTTATTTTCTAAATAATATAAAGAAGAATTTTTGTTTTAGTGTAATATGTTTATTAATATGTAATTTTCTAATAATAACAATGGAATTACCTATTACTCTGGTGTATCTTTATTTTGGTGAACATATTCCATCATCTTATTCGCTTTGTCTTTATTGGATTTATATTAATTATCTTCTTTTTGCGTCAAGTGTATGGATGATGGCAATAGCATCAATTCAAAGATATATTTTCATATTTTATAAACATTTTATGAAGTCTTATCTCAAACATTATATACCTATTTTTTTACCACCTATTTTATTATCTATCTGGTATTTTGTACTTATTTTCTTTTATCCATGTCAACAACAATTTGATTATACTCAATTGTGGTGTTTTGGTGCATGTTATCTATATGATGAAATGATTGGTACAATCGATTGGATAGTTAGCTCATTCATACCGATTGTATTAACTGTTATTTTCAATATTATTCTTCTTCTACGAGTAATTTATCGAAAATATAAAATGAAACGTGGTAATACTTGGCGTACTACTCGTAAACTTTCTATTCAACTTTTCTCAATTTCATTTCTTTTTCTAAGTATTTATTTACCATTAATCATCTTTGGCTTAATTCGAACTTGGATTGATCCATACTTTCTATATGTTTTTACAATGACTTATTTGGCTTATGTAGCATATTTTGTATCATTATTAATGCCATTTATTTGCTTAATTAGTCTCCCTGAAATTGTAACAAAGATAAAAAGATTATGTTGTCTTAACAATAGAGTAGAACCAATACAACAACAACAAATAGCAATGACATTAATTACAAGACGAAATATTCAACAAACATAAAAAATTTTACAATGAAATATTTTAGAAATTTTTTTTCTCATTTTAAATAATTCAAAATAAAATATTAATTATTCATTTAATTTCTTCGATACCTATTGTATATACGATGCTAAAAGTGATTCATTTTTAAAACATGAAATTTCTTTATATTCATATTGTTTAAATATTCTTTCAAAATAAATATCACTAAAAATAGAAATCTTTTTCAACATCTGTCTTTCTACAAGCTTAATGTATTTATTCATACAAATTTCTATTCACACTCATGTATACTTTCAAGATAGTTCAAGCACGATATTGAAATTTTTAAAATTTATTGTTCAACAAATTGTTTAAGGCGAAGAAGTATCCGTCGAACACGACCATCTTCGATCGCACGAGCATTGCTATAATACGATAGTCTTTCTGCTCTTGCGAGACAAGTCAACATTTGTTTAATTTCTGTCCAATTAGCCATTGCAATGTTGTTGGTATCGTACGTCATTTTAAATGTTTCCAACCCATCATATTTATAATCCACTGCATAGATTTCAACCATCTGAAAGAACATCGTTACTTCTTTCTTATATTTAGTAACAGTATTTATGGGTACGCCGTCAAGATATAGTATATCGAGATACTGCAATAGTTTCTGAGAAACATCTTTGCTCGGCGTATCATTTTCCAAAAAACTCATCGAAAAATCTACAATAAATGGAAAAAACCATTAAATCAGCTCATGCTATATACAGCATATAAATATATATGTCTACACTCACCCGCCCAAGACGCCACCTATGCAGAAATGGAAAAGCCAATAAGTTGTCGAGCCGATCAAGAAAAATAAAGTAGACGATAAGACAAAGCATGCGTTTCTTTTGTCAATATTGATAGATGTAAAGTATTTGACAGCATATGAATGAAGAAAAAAACAACTATCGTTTAAGCAATGGGTGTGTTTCAATGGTTCAACAAAATTCAATTGCACTTCAATTTTTATTATCAGGTTTTCATAAAATATTTACTTTTTTTCAATGTTTGAGCAATGCTCAAATTTTATGAAATATACAATCTTCTTTTCAAAGAGCTTTTATTTCAATTCAATTCAAGTTAAAGAATTCTTTTCTTTTCTTCTAAAAATTCAACAAAATACAACGAATTTAACGTTTATTTATTTGAATTTTTTAATCAAAATTATCAAATAATTTCTTTTTCAAAATTTATTCGATTTTTTATTTAAAAAAAGTTCTTTTCTTTGTTTTAAAATCAAAGTTTCATTCACAAAGTTATTCCAAATTTTTGAATTCGATGATTACGATAATCAGCAACATAAAGATTTCCTTCATCATCAAAAGATAGACCAGTGGGACTATTCAATTGATTTGATTGATTTCCTTCACCATTTCCACCAACAACAATTTCACCTTCTTTTTTTCCTTCACACCAACGCATTATTCGATGATTCCCTAAATCCGCCACATAGATTTGACCCAAATGATCAACAATGACTCCTTCGAGAAAAAACAATTGATTGAGATTTGCTCCTTGACCATTTCCTCCAGCCACAACTATTCCTTCTCTTGCATCTTTTCTCCATTTCATCACACGATGATTGTCTCTATCTGATACATAAACAGACTGATCTTCGTCGACAAAGATAAAACCAGGAAAACTAAGTCGATTGAGTTGATCTCCTTTTCCATTTCCACCTGCCACTACAATTCCTTCATTGTTATATTCTCCCATTTTCCATCGTCTCACTTCATTCTTCTTCTCATCAGAAACATAAAGAAAACCATGTTTATCCATTATCAAGCTATAACAGTGAATATTCTCAATCAGAATTTGTTGCTTTTGATTCAGCCATTGAATCACTCGTCTGTTCTTCCAGTCAGCAATGATAATCGAATGAGTTTGTTGATCAACAATCATATCTGTTGGACAATTCAATTGATCCATTCGAATTCCTTGGCCATTTCCACCTGCAATGATTTGTCCTTCTTTTGCGTCGTACTTCCATTCAACAATACGATGATTATCCTGATCAGCAATGAAAATATTTTTCTTTTCATCAATAAAGATTTCTGCAGGGCGATTGAGTTGATTTAATTCCGGTCCTTTTCCATTTCCACCAGCCACAGTGATGGCATCTTGTTTCCATTTATTCCATTTTGGTTCTAGACAAAGAAAAGTTATTTTTCATCGAAGAAAAAAAAAAGATTGATTTTAAATGAAATTAATTACTGAATATTTGAGGGTATGGGTGGGTGCAGTTATTCGATTTCATTCACACCCCACCCTTAATTATTTACTTATGAATAAATTTTATTTTCTATTCCTATTAATACTATTTTTTTTTGATTTAACTAATACACAAATCAATAATATTCTCAATTGTTTTTTCTCTTTTTCGGTAGAATTTTTCTTTTAGAAATTAGTTCTGAAAAACTTACTTTTTGATAAAATAATGGAAATATCACTAATAAATGGTTGTGAACCTTGTTGAATAAAAATATTTAATGGATTATTTAATTCTTGTGTAATTTCTATTAATTGATTTGTTAAATATTCTAAATTAATTTCATTAAATTCATTTTTGTTATATATTTGTTTTATTTGTTCAGATAAATCATCAAATTTCATTTCAATCTCATTAATAAATGTCTGTGATGATTCAATGAGAGATTTTCTACAATCTTGTGCTTTTTGTCGAATTATTTCGATTGAGTTTCTTTCCCATTCATCAATTTGTTCTATTAATGAGTGATTTTGTAGATTTTGTTTTTGTTCATTAATTGTCTGTTTAAATTGATCATAATCATTAATAATATGATTTAATTCCTGATTTAATATTTGTTGATGTTCAGTTAAATGTATTAAACAAAATCTTTTTGAACATCCTTCACAAGGATATGTGATTTTTTCTTTATTACATGTGAAACATTGTGTTTTGTTGTTTGCCATTGCCATCTCGTCGAATAGGCGTTTGTGGTTGAAATGAATACCACCTTATCTACTTTTATAAACATAAACGTATAGAGATTCAATGATAACAAAACCATCACTCGGTAGTAGAAAAAACCGAAAAAGAATTTGTGATATTTATTCAATGAAAGAATGTTTTTATGTAGATAAAGATTAAATATTGATCAGCACTCTCCAGATGAATGATATATCAATCTCTCATACATCCAATTGCACTGTTATGTTCACTTTCATCATCACTCTTATTCTTAAAATCGTTCTTGTGTGATACTCTTTTTTGTTCATCGAATAAATTTTTCTAAATGTTTTGTATGTTTTTTTTCGAACTATACATTTAATTTGAAAAAGAAATCTAACAAAACATATCAAGTGAAGAAAAATAATAGAAAAACACTATTTTGGATCAAATGAGCTGTTCAAGAAAAGAAAACCTTATTGTATTCCATATATCCTTTCGAAAGAACGAAAACGGTAACTCTAGTGTTATTTACACCTATATTACGCCATGTGATGATAAAGTCAACAAAAAAAAAGATAAATTGTAGCTGTTAACAGGACACCTTTACATTTTATTATCAACATCACCTATTTTTTTTCTTTACCCAAAAAAGTCATTGCACAAACACAAGAAACTCACTTACATACGTTTCAACGTTTTTCATTAATGTCTGATAAAATCAAACCATCACTTCTTACATTGCCGGTAGAACTTGTCTACCGAATCCTGAATAATCTTAACGATGTACGTCTATTATGTTCTATGCAAAATGTTTGTATACGTATCAATACAATTCTGGATACCTATCATCAATATCAGGTAAACATCTTCAAAATGTTCACTTTTGATGGTCTCAAACTATTTAGTTAAATAGAATAGTTTTAATGCTTTGTTGCAAATCACTTATTCTTCACTTTACATAAATGCATGAAATTAAACTACTGAACTATAGAAACTCTATCAATCCGAAGATGCTTTCGATAGTCCAAAAAAAACCGTTGTAAACTGTAAAATCGTTTTAATATCTTTACTATTTCACATAGACATTGACCAAACTAGACATTAGTAACGACATAATCGACGATCAATTAGCAAAATATATTGCTAATGCTATACGACGAAATAAAGTAATATATTTCTAATCTTGTTATTGTATTACTCACAAATTGTTTCACATAGACACTCACCATATTGAGTCTTGGAGGCAATGAAATCGGTGATGAAGGAGCATAATATATTGCAAATTCTCTGCAAGAAAACAATGTAATATCCTTTCCAACCTTCTCATCCTATCATTCGCTTACTATTTCACGCAGACACTCAACAGTCTTGACCTTCATCGCAATCAAATCGGTGAGCAAGGAGCACAGCATCTTGGCAATGCTCTACAACAAAATAAAGTAACATCCACTCAATCTTTTCATGCTATCACTCACTTACCATTTCATGCAGGCACTCACGGTACTTCACCTACTTCAAAATCAAATTGGACCCCAAGGAGCAAAATATCTTGCAAATGCTCTACAACAAAACGAAGTAATATTTTCTCTACAATCTTTCATTTCGATCATTACCTCACTATTTTACATAGACACTCACCACACTCTACCTCTATTACAATCAAATCGGTGATCAAGGAGCAAAACATTTTGCCAATGCGCTACAAAAAAACAAAGTAACATCTCTTAGTCTTTATCTTCTCATCATGTCACTATTTACATAGACACTCATTACACTTGATCTCGGGGACAACGAAATCAGTGATCAAGGAGCACAGTATATTGCCAATGCTTTACAACAAAATAAAGTAACATTCCTTCTAACTTGCTCACCTTATCACTACTCTACATAGACACTTACCACACTTGACCTAGGAACTAATCAAATCGGTGATCAAGGAGCACAACATCTTGCTAAAGCGCTGCAAGAAAACAACGTAACATTCTATCTACCACCCACCATTCCTATCGTTTACTAACTATTTTATGTAGACACTGACTACATTGTATCTCGGAACCAACCTTATCAATTACCAAGGAGCAAAACATCTTGCCAATGCGCTACAAAAAAACAAAGTAACTTTCTCTATCTGCCCTATTACTCGCTCATTATTTCATACAGACACTGACTATATTAGATTTCCAAAGAAATAAAATCGGTCTACAAGGAGCACAGCATTTTGCTAGTGCTTTACAACAAAATAAAGTAATACTTTCCCAAATTTCTCATCGTATTATACACTCACTATTTCATATAGACACTCAAAACACTTGTCCTCGAACTTAATAAAATCGGTGATGAAGGAAAGAAATGCTTCGAAGTAGTATTACAAACTAATCCAGAACTAAATATATCTTTATAATGTTCAGAAAGACAAGCGATTATATATAAAAACAACAACAGTTTTTTTTATTCATGAAATAGTTTTTCATTTAATATTTATAAAATACATATCCTATTGCTATGCTCCATGCAACCAATGTATTTAAAGGATGTTTCATTGTGCTACCTTCTTGCTATTAAGCGATGTAGGTGTGAGTGTGGATTGAGATGATGCCAGTATCCATATCAAAACCTGGAAATCGCGGGTATGGGTGAAGGTGGACGGGTGAGGTGGGTGTGTCATTAGAATCTTTCACGTCTACACCCATACCTATACCCACACCCACACCCATACCCTCGAGATATAGTTGATGTTTATATTCTTATAACATTCTTTGTATGTTCTACAACTAAAATTTAACTCATACAATTAATTTTAACGTAAATACATTTTTAAAAGAAATATAAATCTTCATTCAAATCTATAAACTGACAGTATTGAAAGCGCTACAGAACTCAAGACAATTTCAAATTAAAGAAAACATCTATATAAAAAGTTTTTCAGACGAAAGTTTTGAATTCGATTGTCTTTATTTTTTCTAAAGATTTTTTGGTAAAATTTCAATTAAAAATAATCTAAAGCTAATAATCAACATGTTGTCAAATCTCTCATTTTTTTGCAAGAGAGTGGTATTTTTTATCAATTTTTTCCAATTTTGCATTACATTTATCATTGATTCTATGAGAGAATAGAAGTACTTTATTTTTAATCTGTTATGTTAGTAGATATTGGGTGATCTATCATTCCTCCTCTTACAAGTATAGTGATAAGACGTATTATATTCCTTATATCTTGTCGCTCTTTCTCAACTGTCAAAGTATTACATGGATTTTAATGATGATTCATCCTCAAATCCGTGTTTAAAACCTGGTTTTCAAACACCAGGAGCTAACAAACGGCTTCGGGCCGCGGATGATAATACAACTGAATCTCAAACACGCATAATTTATCAAGAAAACCTAATATCAAACGATAAGATCTCGCATAATCAAAGACAATCAATTCAACAAAATGACTTTCCACCAATTACCATTGAATTCAAATCTATGAACAATAATAATGATAGAAAATTAATTCAAGAACTAATTAAAGAATGGGAGACGAAGAACACGAAGAAACTTGATGTTATCGGCAGATATGGATTTAAGAATGTATTACTTATCTTTGCACGAAACATCACAACTCTTGATGAATTACTGGATAAAGACAAATGGCCAACCACTATTAATGGCGCCGAGTACACGATTAAATTTCCAAAAATTCTACCAGAAGCATATTCTATCGTTATTAAAGATTTTCAAATTACATGGAATGAAACTGAAGTAACAGATGATTTACGTGAAAAATATTCATCGTTAATTAAATTAACTCGGTTTGTAACTCGCGATGGTCGCTCAATGAACATCGTACGAGCTGACTTCAATTCCTCGAAACAAGCTAATTATTTTATTAAACAAGGTGAAATTGATATAAATTATATGAAACTTTATGTTCGACCATACTTTGCACCAATTAAAGTTAATAAGTGTCGTAAATGTTTCAAACATGATCACTTCACCAGTCAATGCACTAGTCCTCCTGTTTGCTTTAGATGTGGTCAACAGCATTCTTTAGAAGGTGGATGCAATAATGACATCAAGTGTGCAAATTGTGAACAACAGCATTTTCCCGGACATCCAGCATGCCCGGTAGTCCAACAAAGAAGAAAACAAATTGCTGAGCAACAGAAAGTAAATCAAGCTCAACTACTTATAAAACAACAACAATATCAAACACGATACAATCATGATCCAAATACATTTCCACACCTCATGAACAACTCAAATAAAGCAGCAACAAATATGTGTCTCAACGCTACAATTTCTCCAAGTAGAACAACAACGAATCAATCATATAGTGCTATCGCTAAATCAAGATCATCAGGTGGAAACGAAAATATTGAACAGTTGATGATGGCTTTATCAAGTTCAATCAATCAACAACTATCAAGCTTTATTACATCAATATCAATACAAATTACAGAAGTAACTAAAAAGATGAATGCAAATAATGACAAATTACTCAATATTGAAAATCAAATTCAAGAAAGTATCATACCAGCGATAATTGAATTATCTAAAATAGTCGACAACATACCAGAGCATAAAGATAAAATAAAGGCATTCCAATCGATCCATACATCAGAACACCAAATTCAATCAAAATAGACAGGTAAGAAATTTGACTCATACATTTTTAGATCAAACCAATAGAACACAATAAAATGAAGCAATTCAATATATACAAATGCAATGAACTGATACAGAAATTTAATACACTCTCAGCTGGTTTTACAGAAAGAATAATAAAAATGAGTTACGAAATAATTAAAGAATGGTGTTGGACGTGCTCAAGATCTGAACTATTTAATGTATGGTCACAACAACATCAACAACCTGCATTAGAATCTATTAATCTTAATATTCTCCATTATAATATCCGATATTACCATTCGAATAAATGTGATCTTATCGACATGGTGGAAAAATATAAACCGGCAATAATAACATTAAATGAATTAGGAGCAATAGTTCCAATAAAAATAATCGAAAAAGCACTCTTTTCATATAAAGTATTTAAAACTGAAGGCACTAATGCTCATGGTGGTGTAGTACTAGCGATTGACAAAAATTTAAACCCAATAAATGTTGATTGTAAACAAACGAAAAATATTGTTGCAGCATCAATAATGATTAACAACAAAACATATACAATAACATCTATTTATTCACCACCAGCTAGAGCCCATCGGGTCCACGTTTTTTTGGACCCGGACCCGGACCCGGACCCGCCCAATAAATATTTTTTGGACCCGGACCCGACCCGGACCCGTTCAAAAAAATTACGGTAGACCCGGACCCGGACCCGATGCCCGGTCCGGGTCCGGGTTGGACCCGATTTCGACGAGCACTAGTCTGAACTCGAGCTGTACCTTTAAAAAATTTTTTAGTCTTAACTATCCAAAAACCAAAACTAAGTAGCAAAAAAAAAAGGTCTTTGATTTAGTTTTCTAAAAACCTATTAACCAGTTTTCAAATCCAAAATGGCATTCTCATGTTCACCGAGCAGTATAAAAATATCATGTCGATAATATATTTCTTTTTATCCGGACCCGGTCATAAAAAGCTTCGAGACCCGGACCCGGACCCGGACCCGGTAAAAACAAATTTTTAAGAACCGGACCCGACCCGGACCCGGGCGGGTCCGGGTCTGGGTCCGGGTCCGGGTCGGACCCGATGGGCTCTACCACCAGCAGAACCATTACCATTAGAAATAATGTCATTCGTCATGCAGAATTCTCAACACATTATCATTGCTGGCGATTTTAATGCCAAGAACTATGATTGGGGTTGTCCAGAAATGAACATAAAAGGGCAAAAATTGAAACCATGGCTTGATGCAAATAAAAAAATACATATACATAATCAAGGTATGATAACATCATTAAGATCGGAAACAACGATAGATCTTATTATATCTACCGAGCAACAAAGTTCAGTTCATTGTCAAGCATTACCTTACTTTGGAAGTGATCATCTACCGATATTAACAGAATTTACTAACATTAAAATAAACAAACAACAACGAAATATTCCAAAAATAAATTGGGATATATACACATCAATTCTTACTATACTCAATCCAGAGATCAATCAAATGAAACAAGATTTAAACATGAATCCAAGTGAATGGTTTAAATTCTTTGAACAACTCCTTCATGCATTAAAACTTCGGTCAACACATTGGCATATAATAGAAAAAATTCGTCCTTCAATAACAAAAGCACTACGAGTCATGCTGAAACACAAGCATTATCTTCAAAATCGTTATAGGCATACCAGATCTGAGGAAGATAGACAAAGTCTACGTGCTTGGCACAAATTAGTACTACATGAATTTAACCAACACAAAGTAAACAGGTGGAACAAGTTTATCGACAATGTGGCTTCTCCACAGCCAACAACCTTTTGGAAAACAATTAAAATCCTTAATAAGAAAAGATCTGTAGAATTTTCTGCAATAACAGAAAATAATAAAATTCACAGAACACCTGATCAAATATTATCGTGCTTAACACAACATTTCAAAGCGAGATTTCAAGCACCCTCAACAGATTTAACAGTAAAAACTGATAAAGAAGCACTTGATCTATGGGAATTACTTGAGCAAGCACAACCAGAAGATATTCAACTAATTAGTCAACAATCTGATCTTACATTTACAACAAAAGAAGTATGGGAAGTACTGAAATCACTTAAACCAAAGAACTCATCTAGCTTCGACAATATTTCGAATAAAATGATCAAGAATATACCTGAAGGTTATGCACAAATCCTCACAGAACATTATAATGCTTTATTTGCTGACTTATTCTGGCAAAAACAATGGAAGCAATCAAGAACAATCTGCTTCAATAAAGTAGAAAGTGCTGCACCAACAACACAACAACTTAGACCAATTTCTTTGTTACCAGTACTTGGAAAAGTATACGAGCGACTTTTTCTTATTCGATTCAAAAAATGGTTATTTAAATATGGTATACTGCCATGGCAACAATCAGGTGCTCGATCCAATCAATGTACTACTTCTCGACTTAATCATATGCTTGAACAAACATACGCGTCACTACTGAGTAACACTTTCACCCCAATAATATTCGTCGACTTCTTGCAAGCTTTTGATCTATTATGGCAGGAGGGGCTGCTCTTGAAATTAAAACGATTAAATTGTCCATTCTCATATCTTATTTGGATAAAAAATTATTTTACTGATCGATCAATGTTTATAGATCTAAATGGACAAATATCAGAAGAAATATCAGTAAAAAGAGGTGCACCTCAAGGAAGTGTATTTGGAGCTATCGCATACATTGTAGCACATCATGATTTGCAGCAAGTTTTTCAAAACCCCGAAAACAATCACCTTTATGTTGACGATCTAGGGAGTGTTTATATACCTAGTCTATATGAAGAATACAAAGAGCAATTAACTGAAATTCAAAAAAGAATCAATAAAGATTTAATTAAATTACACGATTATGCAGTTGAATGGCACCAGCCTGTCAACAGTAAAAAGACTGAATACGTTGTATTTGATCGTGTAGTAAAATCTCCTAAACTTAAAATCTACTACAATGGAAATCAATTAGAACAAAAGAAAAATTTTAAATACTTGGGATATAGATTAGATTCAAAGTTGTCTTTTAACTGTGTAGTAGTTGATCATTTACAAAAATGCCGACAAACATATACAATATTAAAATATATACATAATCGATTTCCATCTTTCTTCAAACTTAAACAACGTTTTTTTAATACATATGTTTGGCCTCATCTACATGCAATGTCTTCAATTTATTGTCTTTTATCAAAAACTCAACGAGATAAAATCAATGGTTTTTATCGAAGATGTCTTCGAATTATTTATCATCTATTTCAATGCTCAACAAACGATCTGCACGGAGTCTTTCAACTTCCAACATTAGAAGAAAAATATAGAAAAACTTTAACAAAACGACTAAGTAACATTGAACGATATGAACAAGAATTAATTCAATGTTATTTAATGCATAAAAATATAATAAATACAACACGTCATCACTATCGCGAAAAAGCAATTATACAAGCGATGCCAATAGGTCGACCGAGTACGCGCATGTTAAACTTCTACAACAAATCCACAACATACTTCGACAAACTCATCAATTTCTGTTACACACATCATACTCCAGAAGAACCATAACAAGAGGAAAAAAAAAAAAAAAAAACAAATAAAATTAAGTAACATTCAAGCCTTGTAAAAATTAATATTTAATTTATCCTTATCATTATTATCTTTATTGTAATTTTCTTGAATGTAATTTCTCAAAATAGTACTTAACTTTCTTTCATAGTGGTCAGGACCAATATGGTCAAACCACTCAAATAAAGCAATTTATATATATATTGGGTGATCTATATAAAAATACTACAGTTATCATTACATTAATGAAAAGACGGCTTTTTTTAATACAAAAAATCTAATAAAATTGATTTTGAAATCAGTTTATTCAAAAGTAAACAAACTATTGGTAATCATGGAATAAACCGAAGCATTTTGGTTCGCTATGTTTGGATTCAGGTGCAGCATAAGTATATGCCATTTCCATCGAAAGGAATTTATAACCGAAAAACCTTTTAATAACAATGTCAAAATGTGTATGATGCGAAGAGTCAAATCAATTAAAAAAATGAGTCATATTTCATATCATACCTCATTGGTATCTCTCTTCTATATCCTTGAGAATTTGACAAAGATCCTGCAAGGGTTCCTTGTGTTTGTGGTTACAGGAAGTGAGCAAAACATACAGATATTTTCTGCGAACATAACTTACTCTCATTTCTACATTCTACCTCCTGAAAAATTGTTTTTTGTATGTTGTTACACCTTTTTCCCAGAAAAAAATTGCCCATCATCATAATTATATTCTTCTTGTTGAAAGAATTCATTTTTACTCATTTCTGCATTCTCCTTCCACAAAAAAAAACTTATTTATTTCTTTCTTCAGACTCTTTTCCGGGAAAGAAACTTGTCTATCATAATTTCTGTATTCTCATTAGTAGACGTATTTTTCTTGCTCAGTCCTATGCTCTCCTTCCTGAAAAAATTTTTTTTTTGTTATACTTTGGTCTTTTACGCAAAGAAAACTCGTCTATCGTCGTTCTTGCATTCTCAGTATCGGAAGGAATATTTTTTTCTCTCATTATTATATTTTCTTTTTTAGAAAAAAAATATTGTGACTGCCGTATGAAGAGAAAGAAATTATTTCGTAACTCACTAGGAAGTAGTAACTGTGATGTTATTTTTTGTTTTTCGATGAATAGATGTAAAGGTCGAAGATGAATTTGAGTACTTATTGATTTAGTAGAGTTTTCAACTAGTTGTGATAGTAAGGGTGGGTCAAACAGTCTCATCTTCACCACATTAAGTACCTTGCAGAGTTTAAAAATTAGCGCAAGAAAGAGTGTGAATACAATAATTTCTTGACTATATCTCGTAACGTAACGGCGAAAGGAATAATTTCATAATGATAATAAATAATCACGCGTAAAACTTTGCAAACTTTATCAATCGAAAAGTCGAAAAGTTAGATAATCGAATACTTCGATAGTTAAAGTCTCTGTTGAGTGGAACGGTAACAGAAGGTGTGGGTGTCGGTGTACATACTGTATCCACCTAGCACCTACACCCATTTTTTTGTGTATTTTAATCTCAGCTAAATTCTCATGTCAACTGTGACATCTACTTCGTCCACGTCCACACTCACACCCAATCTCTTAAGCAATAGTGACTGAATATGAGTAATTCTTTATGAAGAGAAATGAAGAAAGCATTAATACTCTTGATAAAGAAAGGAAAAACATAAGTGAATACATTACGTTCGAAAATTTTTATGACACAACAAGATAGAGCTGTTCTGGATTTTTTTTCTTTCTTTCTCGTTACATATAAATTAACAGTCAGAAGGAGCGTTATATTCACTAAACAGCGAGAATCACTACTTTTCTTTTCTTTGGATCAAATTTAAAATATATTGAAGAGTTGCAACATTATTCAGTCGATCGTGTAAATACCAGAATTTATTTTAATTTTTTTCTTAATATTCTATAAGAATATTGTGTCTACATAGACAAATTTAATATTAGCTACATTTATTACGATTTCATTGATTTTGGAAAGAAACCATAATGGCATCGAATGAATCATTTAATTACTGGAGTGTTAAGATTATGCCCATTCCTGCAGACACTACGGTTACTCAATTAGCTCAAGTGACAGGTCTACCAACTACGCGTATACGTTTTCCCAAGACTAGCAATAACAAATCTGATTATGCGTGGATTAATGACTTTGTCAGTAAAGAAGAAGCCAACAGTTTTGTATTGAAAATTTCAGGTTCATGGATTTTTGGTGCAACTATTAAATGTGTCACAGTTCCACCAAAAAGTGACAGAATGGATAAACGTAGTTTATCTCACCAATTAAAAGCGTCGTCTATCCAATCATTAAATAATATAGCACCTCAACCTCAATCTAATCGAGACACTGCAAGAAGACCAAATGATAATAATCTATCTGGTGTGCCTGTATCTCTTATGTCAATCAATGCGAGTGGAAGACCTAATTTTATAAAAGATAATAAGAAACTAGACCAAACATGTCAACCAATATTAGGACCACGTCAATTGTCATCTGCTAATAACTATTTTGAGAATATAAATGTTAGTTCTACAAACCTATCCTCTTATTCATCCGCACCCACACCCACCCCATGCAAACCACTGATTTCAGAATCTCAATCAACACTTCGTATACCAAGTCCAGCTAGACCAAGACCTTGTTCAGCACAAAGAACCACGCAACGAGTAGTAGGTACTGTGAAACTGTGTCCTCAAGACATTCGATGTTTTAACGCTGATTGTCGACTCGATCATCCAAAGGGCTGGAATCCATGTCAGAATGGAGTGCAATGTCGTAATTATGACTGTATATCTAAACATCCAACTGGTCGTAAAGGACGCTGCCGTAATGACGATCAATGCAAGAATAAAAATAATTGTGAATTTTTACACTCATCTATACATGGAACTGTAATCGAACTGAGTGATGCCGAGCAGAATTTTCTTAAAAATTTTGGTAAAAAAATTCTAGATAAAATTCGTAAAGATCCAGATATCAAAGATGTTCAACTCGAGAATAATAAACTTCAACTAATAGGAAATCTTTCCATCGTCACAAATATAAAATCTGATTTAACAGCAACACTTTTCAAACAAAATGCAACGATTACATCTGCTGTAAGAAAATATTTAGAATTAACATGTAAAGGACGTTTATTAACGAACTTTGTACAAAAATATCACGTCGGAATTTCTTTTAGTGGAATTAATAAAGACAATGAGGAAGAAGAAGAAGATTTTGAGGATGCTAAAAATGATATTTCGGACGCACCATCAAATATTACAACTACTTCCGTCACCCGCAAACCTCGCCTTGAACAAGTTACATTATGTGGTGATTCAGAAGATTCATTAACTAAAGCCATCAAAGAATTAAAAAGTTATACTTTGCATATCCAATCATGGATATTAACACAAGATGAAAGTGAATTCATTTTAAAAGAAAAATTTGAACAAAGAAAGCTGCCAAATTATCAGTTACCGCTTTCTATTGAAAAGTATCTAAATAATCTGGTTCAATCCAGAGAGAATTCTACTGTAAAGATCACCGTGAAGTACATAAAAGGTGTATACAGTGTAACAGTGAAAGGATTCAAAGTTTACGTTACTAATGCTGTATCGAAGATAAAAAATTGGTCGAATGATAATATTGAAACTGAAGTACAACTTCCTATATCAAAAACAATGGGAATTTTCCTTCGAACAAAAGCTTCATGTGATCTTAAAAAACTGGAAAAAATTCATCGTATTAAAATAACAACCATGTCACCATTTAGGCGCAAATTTGCTAACGACGAACAAGATGATAATGATGATCATGACTGTTTAAAACTAATCGGATCTAATTCGCGCATTAATTCTGCTCAAGTACATGTGGGAAATTTTCTCGAAAGTTTAGTTGAACAAGAAAAACGTTTTGATTGTCCCAGTTGGGATATTTCAAAAAGTGTTTCTCAAACTCTTCGTACGTGTCTAAAAACAATGACAACTTCCGATGATTGTGAAGTAATTGGATGGATGAAATTCTATACAGCGATCGAAAGAAGAGATATAACTCCGAGAATTACTGTGACCATAGTTGGTTTCAATCAAGAAGCAGTGGATGGTGTGGTCGAGCAATGTCAAACTATTATAGAAGGATATGTTGTTTGGATACCATCTAAAAATGAGTTTCGAACGATTTTTAATGCATTAATAGTAAAAAAATCACCATCTATCGATGAATTTCGACAACAATATACGACTGACATACGGCTGGATCGCGACACGAATACAATCATTATCCCTGCGCAATCAAAAATACTTGCAGATGAAATTAAAGAAGCACTATTAAACTTAGGAGAAAAGAAAGTTCGAGTACAACGTCTATCGGAATTTATTCCTATTCAACCTGAGATTCGTCGTTTTGTCAATAAAAATATTAGTTCATTACTTGATGAAGCAAAATCTCAAAAAGCTTTTGTCGAATCAAAAAATGCTCAAGGATTAACTTTAAATGGTCCTAATGATATTGTTACTGAATTCAAAGCAAAGATTAATGCTGTTATACATGATATTAAACAAAAATGCATTACACATCGTTTGTCATTATCATCTGTCGAGTCCGACTTTCTGCGAGCCAATACTTGTCAACTAGCAAATCGTATAGAACGTGATACGAATACAATTATTCGAGATGTAACTCGTCTCAGTTTTCAGGCGAATAATTCAGTTATGATTACTGTTGTAAATGATCGTGGTCAATCAATCGTTGTAGAAAAAGCTGATATTACTAAAGCAAAAAATGTCGATGCTATTATAAATGCAGCAAATGGACCATTGTATCATGCAGGTGGTGTTGATAAGGCTATTGCTAATGCTGCCGGTTCAACATTTGATCAAGAATGTAGACAAATAATTGTTAACAATGGTGGTTTACCTATTGCTGCAGGTAAAGCTGTGAAGACAAGTGCTGGTAATCTGCCTTTTCGATGTATTATTCATGCAATTGGCCCACAATATATTGATGGAAATCAACAGGAACGTCCATTATTATTCTCTTGTGTTATGTCGAGCTTGAAACTTGCTGAAATTGAAGGTTGTCGAAGTGTTGCTATGCCAGCTATTAGTTCAAAAACTTATGGTTTCCCAATGACTGATTGTACAAATGTTGTCGTTCGAACAGTAAAACAATTCTTCGCTGATTATCCTCAATCGAAGATAAGAAAAGTGATTCTACTAGATTTAGATGATGCAGCTTGTAGTTCATTTGCACGTGAACTTTCAATTGATCATAGCAATACAGCTGAAGATGATGATGATGATATCACGAATTATGAATTACCACCATTGACAGCCAAATGGTGTTGGCAGTCTGATACGGATGAGAAAATTAATACTGATAATGATGCACGTAAAATTGAGTTAGCATTTCAACAATACATTAAAACATTCACTGAATCACAAGTAATACTCAGTCCCGACAATTTAACAAGTGGTACCATTGTTAATTATAGTATCCATTTTCTTCCTGTATTAAAACAACTATTGATATCTAATCCAAATATTTCGAATAGTCGACTGGTATGCGGATATCAAATGAGAGTAGATACTGGCTTTAAAAGATATATTATTCGCTATCCAGTCGATGTGCAACAACAAAGTTCATCAAGTCGTGTTAATTATCATCCAAAATCATTGGATTCCTATAGTATAGAACTAGAAGTAACACAAGAATATTGGAATATTATTGGCATTACGGAGACATCAGTAGCGCAAGCACAATCAGCGATTCAAGCAGCCATTCAATCTGCTACTATTTCTGAATCGTTTTCTATTAATTTAAACAAAGATCTGGATAATCATAAAAAAGAAATAAACAAAATTGCTACACAACAATCAGTTCAAATTGAGTTTCAACAACAACATTCAGAACAGTTAACAATGATATTGAAAGGTTTCAAAGCAAATGTATCAGAAGTGAAATTAAGTGTTGCTTTATACGCTCAAGATATGTTGAAAAAACAAGTAGAAAATGATGATGAATTGGAGGTGCCCAAAGAATGGGACGAACAAGAAGAAGAATGTAAATTGGTTGAAATTTCTCGAACTGATCCTACTTTTATTCGAATTGAAAAACGTATGAAAGAAACTATGAGTACTATTAAAATCGATAAAATTCAACGAGTACAAAATCTACGTATGTGGAGTCATTTTGCATTTCGTCGTCGAGAATTGAAAAAGAAATTACGTCATATGCCAAATATACAGATTGAAATGGAATTATTCCATGGAACAAGACATACATTACCTAGTGAAATTTATAATGGTGAATATGGTTTTGATATGACATATTGTACAGCTGGTATGTGGGGTGTGGGTACATATTTCGCTCAAGATGCTTTATATTCTTGTGGCAATTATCGTTATAGTTTACCTAATGGAAAATCTCAAGTATTTTTAGCTCAAGTTTTGACAGGTCACTCACACAATTGTAATAGTGATTCTTCGATACGTCGACCTCCAAAGAAAAATGAGTCTACTTCTGGTCAACGATATGATAGTGTATCAGGCACGACAGGAGGCAGCACAGTTTATATTGTCTATGAAAATCGAGTGGCATATCCTACCTATTTGATTACTTTCGCTTTATAACTTTTTTTTGTTACACACGTGTATTGATTTCTCATGTTCATAAAGGAAATAAAAATATGACAATCTCAATTGTATCAAGAGTGTAGAAACTCTCAAACTACATTTAATTTATTCAATGGGTGCACCCACACCCTCATAAGGTTGTTTAATAAACTTGAACAAAATTCTAATACTTTCTGATTATCTTGAGCGTGTGGGTGTTGTATAAATACAATAATGGCATCCACAACCTCACCCACATCTGGAGAGAGCACATAGTATAATTGATAGAGCTCACCGAGTTCTACTTGAAATCACTCCATAGGTAAATCCTAGACGGTTATGAAAATATTTAGCAAATTTTTACGAATTTTTTTGGAACTGTTCTGCATTTTTGGAGAATACGAAGGTATCTAGGACATAAAGTAAATAGTAGAATCGATAGAACTCATCGAATTGTATTTGAAATCAGTCCATTAGCAAATTCAATGAGAAAAAACGCGAATTTTGTTCTACGATATCTCAAAAATAAAACTTTATTTTATTGCTCGTTAAAGTAAAATAAGAATTAAATATCTTCTAAAGTCTCATAAATCTATCATGTGTATATCACATGCTAAGTAATCGTTTCACATTCCAAAATGATAAAATTTAAAAATATCGATCACAAGTGCTCATAAATCATTTGATGATAAGCAATGCAAGTAAGTATAAAAGGCGCTTGTAAGAAGTTTTGTTTCATAATACAATCATCTCATATTGTATTTCTTGTTTTATTTTCGGTTTCTTTTTACCAGCGCTTGTTGCTTATGACAATTGTATTCAACAAAGTCGTTTCGAAAATATAATAATATTTGGTGATTCAAACTCGGATACAGGTAATGTTTTTAAATTATCTAATTATACATGGCCACTATCACCTCTATATTATGCTGGACGATTTTGTAACGATCGCAATTGGGTTGATCAACTGCAAGTACGTGGAATAAAAAATTATGCCTATGGCAGTGCAACGACCGATAATGATCAAGTACAAGGCTACACAAAGTTTAGTACTCTTCTTGTTCCTGGAGTTAATCAACAGATTGATAAATATTTCAATGAATACAGCTCAAACATCATTAGTTCTCAAAAGACTCTTCATATCATCTGGGCTGGTGGTAACAACGTAATCTTCAATCCAGCACTACCTATACCTGATATTGCAAATAATCTAACAAACTTAGTGACAAAGTTATGTGAAAACAATGCCAGATATGTTCTAATATTCAATCAAGTACCAGCTCAATATATTCCTGATGCTTTAACAATTGCAAATGCTAGTATTTTAGATCAAATGACAGCAGGATTCAACTATTTTATAACTAGTAATCTTCATACAATTCAACAAGTTCATACACAAGCATCAATTAATATATTTGATGTTTATTCACTTATCTTGAAAGTTATTACACAAAATACTGGTTACTTTGCAGATACAACCAATAGTTGTTGGAATAGTGTGAATGCGACTACAATCATAGAAAATTGTCAGAATCCTAATAAAAATGTGTTTCTTGATAATGCACACTTTACTTATACTGTTCAAGAATTAATTGCTGATGTTGTTCGAAAATTTTCTTTTGCCTTCATATGAAGTGAACACTGCTAGTTGCTATATTCACAATGCTTAACATATTATGTTACTTTCTGTTTTCTTTCTAATAAATTTCATATAGCTTATCTACGTAAAACATTATTCGTCTAGATCGGATATGTAATGATCAGCACTATCCACAACAAACTCCATCGAAAAACGAATTTATCTTTTATGCAGGGTATGGATGAGAGTGCGGCAGTTCACTACTCATCTACATTCATACCTTATGAGATTTTTTGGGTAATGATCGTGATCGTCAGTTTTTTATTATCGATTTAAGTTTACAAATAATTGTACTTTTATAATTTCTTTTCAATGAATTTAATGTTTAGTAACGTCAGAAATGTGAATATTTATATGCAACGCCTTTATAATACGAATTTTATGAATCATAGAATAATAATTGTTTTCTGTGAATTGATTTGATATTAAACCTTATTTCAATCATTCATAATACTATTAAGTATGATTAAATCAAACAAACGAGGACAAAATTCTGAAGTATATAGAAATCGAGTAAACTGTCAACAGAGACAATACCGTCCATGTACTCATTCTAAGATTTTATCAGATCATCAAATAACAGAAAAACTGCAAGCAATTGTTAAGTTTATTTATCTATTTAAAATTAAAAAGAATGTATTGTTTTTCCATTAACCATTTTCTCATTACCATTACTTATTGTTGATTCCCTTTATCCAATTCTTTTGTGCACTTCTCTTATAGGTTATAAACACCAGTTCCTATTTTCTAAGTACATATGACTTTTTCTGTTGATATCTATACCCTGTAGAAAAGGAAGGAATATGTGTAAATGGAATTAAAACATCAAGAGAACATAATAAAAAAAACTCGAATGTCAGAAGAATTTACATTAATACGAAGAAAAACCATCCTGGCGATTATGCAAAAATATAATTATCGTATAGAAAACATTATCACATTTTCCTTAAATGACAGCAACAACAAATTATGTTAATATCTGATTTTAGTTGGTGATATATCAATAAATGATGATCGCCTCTTCTAGTACTTAAGAAAAAAATCGGAAAGAATAACAAATTATAGCTAATGAAAACATAACTATGTCGATCATGATGAAAAAAAAAATGAACACGCAGTTTGTGTTTTATATAGTTCTTTTTCTCTACAAGTGAGAATATTTTTTAATTCACATATACAATTTTACTCTGACACGAAAACTTTATCTATTGCTCGAGGCAATGAATAATTATTTGATCTTGTGGGTATGAATGTGAGTATTTCTCTTTCAACTACACTCACCTTTATACAATAAAAGCATACGAAGGAATATATAAATGAAATATCCAAATATTTACGATGATCTTATTAATATAGAATTCTAATCAAATTTAATTTACTACTTTTCGCATTTCTTCAGTTTCCAAAGGTTTAAATATGAGATTTTTAGATGACTTATTTTATTTCATTGGCATATTTTTAATACACAGTACAATTCCATTTCTGAATAAATACTTTTCTTTCACAAATTATTTTACAGTGATCGAACAATGACTTAATAACTTAACTGATTGTTAATGACTAGTTTGTGCATTTCTAATATTTTCCTGTTTTTAATATGTAAATATATAAGCTTTTTGTAAAAATTTAATTTATTTTATGATTATACTGATGAAAGAAGAAATAAATATTCAGATGACAAAAATAACATAGAAAGAATTTAAAAATATAAAAACAAGAAAATACACCTTATGTTTTGTTTTCTTTTTACAGTATTGTCATTTGAATATTTGTGAAACTGTTTTGATTTCTTTTTTTTCGTAAATACAAACATATAAAGTTTCCACTAGTATACTTAAACAAAGCAACAAACTATTATCTTTGAAATCAAAGAAGTTTAAAGCATTCGATGAATAAGATTATTTCCTTCTTATTCTCACTTTTGAAATAGGTGTGCTTGTTTCTTTTCTATTCGCATCCACACCTTCACGACAGGAAACATGAAAATGAAAAATATTGAAGAAGGAGGTTTTGTTTTGACTTTGAAATAATACTGAGATATTTTGTTCAAACGTGCACAAAAAAATCAAGAGTAGTGAAGTAAGTTCATTCCAGTTTTCATCTGTGCAGATTAATGTTGATTAATGAGTAACGAGTCCTTGTAGTTTAGTTGTGATCATAAGTGTACTTTCATCTGGTATTTTATGATCATCAAATGTGCGCAAGTCTTCTAGTTGTTGGCCTTGATATAGTAGCCGTTGAGAATCTGGTTTGACGCCCGTTCTTTCTTCGATTTGTAGTCTCAACTTGTCGATCGTGTCTGAGGCGTTCATTTCGAAGGTCAGAATGATATTGTCCAATGACTTCAGATAAATTTTCATATTCGCAGAATGTAGAATAAGCGATTAACTGACTATTGAACACAAATTTGAATCAGGAATTGAATGAGTATGACTTCAGAAAAGTGCTGCTTTTTTCCTTTTTTGCATCAGTGTTTGGTAAAAAAGCACATGAGTCATTTGCTGACACATGGAGAAATACTTGACGAAAAAAAAAACAGTTGGTAATGATTGTAGAAAGAGAGAAAAACATTGTTGTTCTTGCTGTTATGTTTGATTTTGCATTGCTCATGAAAAGCTTCTCATATTGAGTTATTTGAGCTTATCAAGCAATTAGCTACTCATCAAAATGTGTTTTTTGAAATAAGCAAGAGTGAATTTGTTGCATCACATAAATGGATTCAATTGACGCATGCATTCTTTCTGTCCTTCTGACGAGCAAAGATGTTATGTTTGAGGGTAGTATACACGGGGGGTTGTTTCTATTTGTGTAAGATAAATGTGATACTTTCTGTTGGCTCTCAGTAATTATTTATTTTTAATTTCTAGAAAAAAAACGATGCTTACGCGTTATGTAAATGAAGCGACATATCTTGAGGGTATGGCCGAGGATAGGTATCTTTACTATGATCCTCATAGCGAAACTCACATCCACACCCACACCCTCAAGATAAGATCCGTCTATTTTTAGAGTTTTGCTTTTGCATATATTGAATTTCAAATTGACTTCATGCATCTTTTTGCTGCTCGTTATAAAAATCCATCATATCGCGATGAACAGTTCCACTTTTTATATATCTCATGAGTTCTTATTCTAAAACATCGAAATACTCAAAGGAAATTTTTCTCATAGATACTTATTGCGCATAGAGAAATAAAGAACGTTATTAAAAATGAGTCCTGACAAAGCAAATCACTTGGCAGATTCAAATAAAAATATATCAGACTAGTCATGACTTATTCATTGACGTCAATCATTTATTAACTATGATTTTTAATATCGTATTTTTATTAAAACACGTCTGATGATTGACATCGATATTGATTAATTCTTGTTTTACGTCATCACGCTCTTCTTTACTAAAATCAAAGATTTTTCTATAAAATTAAAAAAAAGAAAAGGATCATTTCGAATTTAAATTTCATTGTATGATTTCGAAAACAATGAAATTCAATAAAAAATATCAAATTAAAGCATCAGTTTTGTTTATTAGTCCAATCTAGAATCAATTTTTTATCTTACCTACGACAAAACACTCTCTATAACACTATTTTTTCTCTTAGTGTTATTTTGGAAGAAATGAATGAGAGAAAAAAAAGAGACAAAGAGAGATATATAACTATAGAGAAAATTTACAATGAGTGCCAGTTTGCTTTTATCAAAGACAATGAATAAGAATAAGAAGAAGATTGTTTTATTAGTTAATTAATTTAACAATGAACACATCTTGTTGAATGATGTGGAATATCCACGTATTTATTATTGTTCTTTTGTTCATTCTCAACAATGAAACATCAGGCAACAATGAAACATCAGGTAGAGATTTTTGCTAATTACATATTGACGATCAGTCATTGTCTAATGACATTATTCATTAGAGTTTTAGTTGAACAGGAGAGATTTAAATCATAGATGGTAGAACTTGAAAAGAATTCAGAGGGATCTTTCTCATTTGTTCAAAAGTGATAGTTCTGATATGTTTCATACCTTATATCTAACTCAGTTAGAGAGTAAACTTCTTTAGAATGATCTATTTTGTTTTCAAACTGCTTTAAAGTTATGAAATATTTCTACAACTACTAGTAATCAAATATGAGTTGTATGTGTGTCACATTAGATGAGTCTTTGAATCGTTCATTTGAAAAATAAATAAATAGATTGAGCAACTATTTCTAGACATGGTTCTTTATTTGATAGCAACAACCATGGCCAAGCTTTTAATTTCGTGCCTAGGATTAGTTTCAGAGTGTATATTATCGAACAAAATATAGCATCTATCACAGTCGTGATGATTTTTACGAGTTTATGCTTTTCGCGAGTATTGAATAGCTTCATGAATGTCTTTAAAGTGTGGAAGAGTACGGTTAGTATTTAGAGAGCACAAAAGCTGCGCGAGAATATAGGTGGTGATGAGATTCAGTAGGCTTTTGCGACGGATGAGAACGGTGGTAATGGATGGGTACCGATGTGGATGAGGATGAAGATGAGGGTGTGGGTGTGAGTTTTGTGTCTTTCTCTCACACCCACGCCCATTCACGCTTCTCAACAACAGAAAATCAGGTAAGTGCTTTTATCTGTTGCAAATTATTCATTGAAAACTCAAATATCTGATAGAATTTCCATTGAGCTTAGTTAAAGAATAGAGATTTTATACATGACATAAAACCAGAGCAAATTCGAAAATATCCTCTACTATGGTTTCGGATCGACAATTAAGAGACAATGAGAAGAAGATGGAATCTTCTATTACATTTAACGAAAAAGCTGTTGATGCAATGCCTGCGTGATTAAAAATGTGAAGAACGATACTATTATTTCACTTTACAGAGATAATAGCTGAGATACACATATGATGAATCAGTTTTTTTATATAGCTTTATCATATAAACAAAGCACAGCAAAGTTCTTTTATCATAGACTATGACGGCGTCTGTACTAATCGATTACAGAGGTTGAAGTACAGTGGTCACAGCCTATAGGAGAACCCAGGGCCCAAATTTCTACATCTAAATTTTAAATGTTCTCTCCTAAGTCGTATTTCAATTTAATTTTTTAAACAAGGACTTTCATTTCTCTCCAATAGTTAATTTTTTTATAACAAATTCGTTGACATTGAGCTTAGTTTCAGCTTATTCATTAACGTTTTTGTTCATCAGTGAAATTTTGAAATAATTCACTTTTCATTTATAGAAGTAGACGAAATATTGAACTTCGGTATTTGAAAATTTTTTCTTGTCATTTCAGTTTTGGCCTTTCACCAACCGAAATTGTGTCCAACAGCAGCTTGGAATCCAATTGCAGTCACTTTCGCTAATGCAACGATAGTTGGTAGAGGTCCCAAATTCGTTTTTATCACTAAAAATAATAGTGTATACGTTCATAACCAAGAGAAAAGGGAATTCATCGAGTGGCATGAAGGAAGTATTGATCCAACAAAGTTCATTCCTATAAATATTAATCTTATACATTCTCTTTTCGTTGCAATCAATGGCGATATCTATTATGGCAATAACGTAGGAACCCGTAGAATAGACAAGTGGATAGCAAAGAACAACACAAATATCACTGTGATTAATGCTAGGTTATCTTTTAATGGTCTTTTTATCGATACGAATGATAGTTTGTACTATTCTCTTGAACAAACTCACGAAGTTATGAGAAAATCGTTGCGTGATCCATCTTTGGCAGCGGTTCGCATGGCTGGGACAGGTAGAATGGGATCTCGCTTTAACGAACTTAATCTACCCCGAGGAATTTTTGTTGATACGAACTTTGACTTATACATAGCAGATTGTGAGAATCATCGGATTCAATTATATGAATTTCGATTAGGACAAACAACTGGCATGCCAGTAGCAGGAAGTGGAACAATAAATCCAACAATTTCACTTTTGTCGCCAAATGCGGTAGTAGTGGATGCTTATAAATATCTATTCATTTTGGATGGCGGGAATAACCGTGTTGTTGGATCAGGACCCGATGGCTTTCGATGTTTAGTTGGCTGTCGAGGAGGTGGCATGGAATCTCACCAATTATCAATTCCCTTTAGTTTTAGTTTTGATCGTTTAGGCAATATTTTTGTCAGTGACCAATTCAATCATCGAATTCAAAAGTTCTTATTTTTGGAAAAATCATGTGGTAAGCAGAACGCAGTTAGGTAAAACTATGAAATATTAAAAGATAGTCGATATAAAGAAGAACTACTCTATAGAAAAACTTGATACTAAATAGTATGCTGCGGATCAATAACAAAATTATAGAAAAACTACAGTAATATGAGTGATTCCCCTCTTTATCTTTGACAAAACGGTTGAGATATTTCCATGTTGTCTTCTTTTATTGTAATTTGTAGATCCTCCGATGATTCAGCCAAAATTTTGTGCAACTGCAGAGTGGAATTCAGTTGGTACTACTTTCCCTAATGGATCAGCAATGAAAACAAAAATAAACTTTCTCTTCATCGCTAAAAATAATACGATTCATATTTATGATGGAGAAAAAAGGCAAATCTTAGTGTGGCATGAGGGAAGCATGCATCCGATAAAGAACATTCCTCTGCCTATGCATGCTTCCTTTGCCTCGTTTTTTGTGGTAACTAATGGTGACGTGTATTTTTCTGTTAGATATCCGAATGGTCAATCTCGAATAAATAAATGGATAGCAGAGAACAACACATTTGTCACTGTGATAGATGTTCGTTCAACATGTGACAGTCTCTTTATAGATTCGAATGATACTTTGTATTGTGGAGTGTCCGGTGGTGCTGAAGTTGTGAAAAAATGGCTATATGCAGATGATATGAAATTAATTCGCGTAGCTGGAACAGGCGAATGGGGATCGAATTTGAACCAAATTCAAACTGCATCGAGAATCTTTGTTGATACAAACTTTGACTTATATATAGCAGATTGTGAGAATAATCGAATTCATTTATTTCAGCTGGGACAATCAAATGGCACCATTGTAGCAGGAAGAGAATCAGAAACTCCAACAATAAATCTTTATTGTCCAAGTGCAGTATTACTGGATGCCCAGAAATATCTGTTCATTGCAGATGCGCTAAATAATCGTATTGTTGGATCGGGACCCGATGGGTTTCGATGCTTAGTTGGATGCCGTGGGAAAGGTACACAACCTCACCAATTCGATTATCCAAACGATCTTAGTTTTGATACGTCCGGAAATATATTCATTGTCGATGACAACAATCATCGAGTCCAAAAATTTTCGTTTTTACAAAATTCATGTGGTAAGGTGAAACTTATTTGAAAAAATAATAAAAAAAAAGATGATCAACAAAGTATCTAGCGAAGAAAAAACTGTTGATCAAGTATTTTCAAATTAATTTTTTTTAGCTTAATCTGTATGCAATGCCTTCTGCAGCCTATGAATAATCGAGAAGTTCAAGTTCTAGCAGAATATATAATTGCTTGTTCGTAAAGGTAATATTAAGGCGATAGCAAATTTCAAAAACATTTTTACATGACAGCCACAGAATCATGGCTTCGATAATGGGAACATGAAGTTGCTTTCATTCTACTCGACCTTTTACGATAATTTACGAACAAAATTTAGAATATCAGTATGGAGAATCAGAGGAAATTTGCGACGTCTTTTGAAGCAGAATTTCTTATAGTGCTGATATGTCCAAAATACATTGTTCAACTTTTCCTTTCCAAAGGCGTAGCTGATGAAAGTTCTAGAAAAGTAAATTAGAAATATCTTGAAAAATATCATTCGATTACATGTAGGCGTTCTCAATGAGATCTGTATGTTAAATAAATTGGTCAATGTTACTGTGCTTACAGAAACATAATAATACTTAGGTATTTCTGACTTATTATTTGATTTGATTTGTTTGCAGTTTATGGTTCACTGTCTCTCAAAGTGGTATTTCAATCGTCATTAACTAAAACAAATCAAGTCTATTTTCGAGATTGTACTGAACCAAACTTTCATTATGAATCTATTCAAGTCAACGTAATCGAAAATGGTTATTATATTTTTCGCACCTACAGCGCACTGGACACTTATGGTTATATCTATGAAAAAATATTTAACGCACTCGATCCACTTGAAAATGTTCTTAAAGCTGATGATCAAAGTGGTTCTGCTAATCAATTTCGACTTGATATTTCTCTTCAAGCTAATAAAACTTATATACTAGTAGTCACAACGTTTTCTCCAAGCGAGACTGGATCCTTTGACATTGCCATTTCGGGAACAAATACCGTTACTCTCAAGAAACTTAGTGAGTACATTATTCTATGCTACTGAGACAATGATCCATATAACATATGGAATATAATCATAAAATAGGTTCTTAACAAATTGTATTTTTAAGAAAACGTAGGATACTTTTGAACAGGATTCGAGTTTCTCCTGAACGAAAACGCTCAGGGTGTGGGTGTTGGTCTGCGTTTGAGTAAAAGATAAACACTGCACACCGACACCCACATCCATCTCGACTTGGAAACAGTGTGATTGAGGTTGAAATCAGTTCAGAGACGAATCCGTACAGAAAAAACTGTGATTTCGAGTAATTTGGGTGGTTGGACCGGAGGGGGGAGGATTTCGAGGGTGTAAAGAGAAACTAATGAGGGAGATTATAGTTGGAATCAATAGAGTTTGCCGAGTTCTATTTGGAGCCAGTGCGATCTAACTTGAAACGTATACCTGAGAGAATTCGTTTAAGAAAAACTCAAATCCTACCCGAAGGTATCTTATGTCAAAGAAAACGCTTTTTATCCGCCTTCTGTAAGAGTTATGTTTTAATAATAGAAAAAGAAAAAGAGTGAATATCTTAGCGGATAAATAATGACTGATAAAGTTTAATAAAATTTTCAAGGATTTCCTGACTTATAATGCGAAAAACCAAATCTTTTAAGTTAACTTCAAAAATTTTCTTTCAATAATTGCCAATCAACGTCTTCACGAAAGGAACATTTTTAACTATATTTATCTTTTGTGAATAAATGTACATATATGAAACTCGTTCTGCGCTATTTAGCCATAAAAAGTATTTTTCAAATTGTCATTGTATAGTTTTACTGTTCGATTCTGAATATAAAGAAGATGCATTGAGAATTTTGGCATTCATTATATTCTACATTTTGTTTGGATTACAGGATTTACTGCCGTATGATTTATTGCCGTTGTAAACATTTGTTTACAAATTTATTTTTTATTTTTTTTTACAAGTTTAAGTTTAAATTTTTTTGTTTCTGGTAAATTATATGATTAAGTTAGATAAATCTAATGATCACAATAATAAATTTTCTTTGAGATTTTCTATGTCAAAGGTTCTTTTTCATCTCAAAGGCTCGTGAGAGTAACTTTAAAGCTAACTATAGTTTGTAATTGAGCAGATAAAAATAAATTAGTTTATATATCAAAGGTTTATTTTTCATATCAAATAATCGTGATAGTCAGTTGAAATGCAACTATAGTTCGTAATTGTATAAATAAGATTGTAAAGAAGAAACTGTTTTCTATGTCAATAGTTTATACTTCATATCAAATGTTCGTGAAAGTAAATTGAAATCTAATTATAGTTCATAATTAATTAGATAAAAAATTGTTTTCTGTATCAAAGGTTTATTTCTCATCTCAATCATTGGTGAAAGTAGAATTAAATCTAACTATAGTTCGTAATTGTGTAGTCAAAAAAAATCATTTTCTATGTCAAAGGTTCATTTTTCATCTCAATTGTTCGTGAAAATAAATTTAAATCTAATTATAGTTCGTAGTTATATAAATGGATTGTATAGAAGAAACTATTTGCTATGTCAAAAGTTTAAATTTCATATCAAACGTTCGTAAAAATAAATTAAAATCTGACTATAGTTCGTAGTTATGTAAATAGACTGTAAAGAAGAAATTGTTTTCTATGTCAAAAGTTTACTTTTCATGTCAGACGTTCGTAAAAGTATATTAAAATCTAACTATAGTTCGTAATTAAGTAGAAAAAGAATGTTTTCTATCTCATAGGTTTATTTTTTATGTCAATCGTTCGTGAAAATAAATTTAAATATACCTATAGTTCGTAATTAAAAAGAGAAAAAAAACTATTTTCTATCTCAAAGGTTTATTTTTTATATCAAACGTTCGTAAAAGTAAATTTTAATGTAACTATAGTTCGTATTTATATAAATAGATCGTAAAAAAAAATTATTTTTTAAATTAGCTAAAAAGCTTATTTTTCATCGTAAATTTTCATGACTACATAGTAGAAAAGGTCAATAATGAATCTTTTCTCTACTCTGATTAAATTGTGTATTTTTCACTAGTAATAGTTGTAGAAAAACTTCTCTAATAAATGTATTAAATCGGAAAGTTTAAAACATCATTATTTTTACTAAATGGATTATTAATGCTACCTTATACAACTGATTTCTTAATTCTAATATTGTGATCATTGATTTACCTAAACTATAATTCATATAACTCACCAATTTCAATTGATATAATTGTAGGTAAATGATTGTGACAATTTTAATGAATAATTATTTTTATAAAAAAAAAAAAGAGAAACGCGCCATTTGTCATATTGATTCATCATAATGAATCAGAAAATTCTTATTATATTTATAAATTCGACTTTATTGAAATTTAGAAAAAAAAGAATTCAATATATTTATATATATTTTAGTAGTAGAGAAAATAAGAAATATGAAATGTGTGAGATAGATATGTTTTATTATTAGATATTGTAAAAAGAAATTTATAAATTTATGATTCATTAGTTAATAGAATTTTTTTATTTTAATTGATACAGTATATATGATCAAAAAATTGCAAAAAAAACTATTTAATTTTTTTCCAAGATAAAATAGTATTATTACATTCAATATCTTTACATCGAATACTGTATGTATATTCTTTTTTATTGATCATGATAGCTACATTATTACGTTGATGATGACCATTTTTCTTTGGGCAGAATTTATATTTTCCTGCTATATTAAAAAATAATAAATTTGTATTATAAGTACCACGAGCACATGAACATATGTAACCTTGATGAGATGGATCAGATGTAATGATATTTTCAACAAAATCGATAAATATTGACATATCTGGTATAGATAAATTTAGATTATTAATTTTATTAGGATGTAATGAACGTGATAAATTTTGATTAGTATTAATATTTGGATGCGAATGAGAAAAAGACGAATGCTTCATATGTTGATTAATTGGTTCAATATTTATAAAATTTTGTAGTTTTGTAATAGTTGAATTAGAAGAAGTCGATAAATCAAATACAAATTTTTCATTTTTAAAATAGATTTTTGAAAGTTGGTCATTTTCGATGAATGTAATTAAAGATTTTTTAAGAAGGTCAGAAAATGAATATTGTAATTGAGAATCAAAAGGAAATGTAGTGGATAAAATAAGAGGATTATTTTTTCCATATTTGACACTATTAAATAAACGAAATTGCTGGTTATTGGAGTATACATTTATATCAATTGCTGTCACCCATTCATTTGTTTTATTTTGTACCAGTAAATATGCTATATCAGCGATTGAAATATAAGGAATTGAAGTTTGACATGAAGTACAATGTTTTCGTAATATATTTATATGTGGTACTAAGATCTGAATTAAGTTTGATATAGTACATGACCCTAATGGTGAAGTGATATTGAACATGGAGCATTTATGTTGAACAACTAATGATAATACAAAATGAAGTATGACTTTGATAAAAATTGCAAGTGTAGATACATTTTCAAATATAACTGATGGTTTTGCATGTATAAAATGATACGATATCTTCTCGCTTGTTGATCTAAAAATAATACTAATTTTTGAGAAGCTTTATAAAAACTATGACATACGCTTCTAAAACTAGAAATTGTTTGAAAACGTTTTCAGTATAATCTTCTACTGTATTAATAGTATCATCTGGAATATTTAGGAAATAATATAGAATTTTAACAAAGCACATAGGACCAATATGATGATTTTGTATATCCAAATTATTATGAATCATGTATTCGAAATCGATATATATTTTAACAGAATTTTTTGGAGAAATACATTCGTATAATGCTCGATCTGTTACAGGACAATTTTCAAATAATTTTATTAATTCTTCAATTGTAAGATAGCAAAATTGTCGAGATCTATTTTCTTTTTCAATACTTATAAATATATTATTTATTTTGTTGTTTTGTTCCAATATTTGATTATTTAAGTCAGCTATACGATAAGTTATAATTTTATTTGGAAAAAGATGTTTGATCAATTTCTGAAGAAAGTTCATAATATATTTATCATCAATATTTAATAGACGAATTCTTAAGTATATTTTAGTTTTTAATTTCAAGTGAAAATATGATTTGGGCGCTTAACTATTTCTATGTATTTATATTTTTTTATATAATTAGCATCTTAGAAACGAATTTTATTAAAGCATATTCCATTAAATTAGAAAAAATTCAGATACATGTCGGATCTACGGGGAAAAAATTACTTTTGACGAAAAAAGTGCCTAGTAATATTGATTGAGCATGTTTTTATTATTTCGTTCCTAAAATAGTATCAAATAATATGTTATTGAAAGAATATGAAATTCATTTTATGTAAAATAGGCAATTTAATTTCAATTAAAATTCATAACAATTGAATAAAACAGTCAATTGTACTATGTTTATATTATTTTAAATTAATTTAAAAAAAAATTGTATTATGTTATTAGAGACTCCAAATTAATTTTATTTATGCTATTTAAATATAATTAATGGAATTCATTTAATCAATTTAAAACAAAACAAAAAAAATTTAATTGCTTTTTTACTAGATTAATGTTCAAAAATACAATTTAAAAGTTGATGAAATATATTGTATTATTTTATTTGTATTGCACAAAAGATAATAATTAAACAATAATACATTTGAGGTATTGCAACTTCATTCAAACAATGGACATATACGTATTGGGCATACCAACAAGTGTACGTGAACCTAAATATTTGGAAAAGTTTAGGTATGATTAAAAAAAATGATTTTAATTCAATTTACCATTAAACCAATCAATTTTAATATTTTTTAGTTTTAATTCTTTGTTAATCATACTTGTTGGAATTTTTTTCGCCTAATAAAAGATAATTAAATAAAATATTTATTTATATAGTAAAACCTGTTCATTCCATAACGTTAATTTCATGTGAACGTGATCTTGAGAAACATGAATTTCACGTCGAGTCCATGGATTACCATTTGCAATGCCTGTAGTTGTTCCATAATCTCTTAAAACCTTGACGTTAACATCTATATAAAATAATGAATGAGATAACTTATTTATATTTTTCAATAAATATCAATTTATGAATACAAACCAATTATTGAATTCAACGGTAAATTTTCAACTTCATTTAAATGAGTAAAATTATAAGTCAAATGATGTTTGTATGTCATTGTAATTTCACGTGTTTTAGTTGTTTTATTTACAATTAATTGATAATCATGAGGTAATTTTTTATAAATACTATCAACTGTTTTGATTGATAAACCATTAAATTCATATGACTAAAATTATATAAAAAATAGAATGTTTTATTTAAACGTTTCATTACTTTTCCTTCAAATAATTTATTCGGTAATATATACGAATCCAAATTAAAAGCTACAAGATTAATTGCAGCTGTATCATCGACTAAGTCCCATGTTGATATTTCACCTTCGCCATTTGAATTAATATATGTTCGTTTTGGATGTGTACAGCTAATAATTGCTTGTAATTTCCATCTATATTATATGTTGTACAAGGAAGAAATTATAGATATAATTTACCATGTCAATTAAATAAAGAATAAAATATGCAAATGAAATTTTAATATAACATAAATTATTTGATATTAACAAAAAAAAAAGAAAGCAAACAAAGTATTGATTAAATTAGATCAATAAAATTAAGATCGTCAAAAATATTAGACGTTAACACAATAAATTGATTAACAAATCGATAACTTACGGAAAATCAATATCGGTATTAATTTGATTAATTTTTATTAGTTTTGGTTCATTGTCTACAATATATTTTAAAATTAAATCATTAGGTTATAAAAGAAAATTTTTGAAACATTCAATTTTTGAAGAGTTAATAGATGTGAATTTATTTCTGTTTAATTTTGTAACTAAGAATGAGAACTTTAGTAATATAAATATCGCTATGCGATTATTTTTAATTTAAATAAAAAAAAGTGATTAGAAACATCAAATAAAAGTAAATCTTTTTTTTTAATACTACATACTTGTTTGTATGTTTAATATTTCGATAATATCTTCAGTTGACTCATGATTTTCATTACATTGAGAAAGTTGATTATTTGTATTATTATTACTTTCGAAAGTATTTTTATTAACATCAACATTGTTGTGATCATTATTACATGATGTAGAATTGTTTAAACTTTGTGCGACTGATGTATTTGATGTTGATTGTAAACTACCAAAAAAATTATATATGAGTTAGTTAAATTGACGATCTTACGTTTTATTTGAATTATTATTCATCAATTGTTCATACATATGAATTACAGAATGATCAATATCCATTTTAATCTGAAATGAAAAAGAAGTTGCATATTGTTTTAACTATTTAACTTTAATTGTCAAATATCCAAATGAATAGAACTGTTAATTAAAAAATGATAGAGAGAAAAGTTATCATATTGATCAGAAGTTCAAGAAGAAGAAGATTGATTTGTTGATGAAGGTTCATCTGTTTGTTCAGAAGGTATTAATATAATTTGATTTGTTTGTTGATGTGTTGTTGATGAAGATGTATTTGGTGCATGTTCGATTTTTTTCTTTTTTGTAAATACGATTGCTTTTGGACCAGTCGTATTATTTGTTTCTTCTATTTTACCTTTTCCTTCTTCCTCCATTTGTCGAAGTATCAATAAATATTGATCTTTGCTTATTTTTCTTTTTAGATTTGCTGGTAGTGATGATAAAAGAAGTCGATCAGATGGATGATTTTCAATATATTTCTTTATATGCATTACTTCATTTTCTGGTACATCCATACTATCTATAGACTCAAATTAAGATGATGATGTAAAATAATATAGGAAGACTGTTTTCTTATTAGCAAAATAAAATTTTTCTTTCTGAGAAACTACTTATAGTTTCTATTTTACCCCTTTAAATAAAATCAAAATATTCATTCTTAACGGATATGAAAGCAAATGAAACGTATTTATCTCACATTTTTTATTGAATAAAATATGATCGGTTATTGGATCATAGCCAGCTAATATTTTAATTTGATTAAGATAAAATTTTGTTAATAATGAAGCTCGAAAACAAGTATCATAATCAATTAAATGATCATCTTCGTTTAATTCTTGTTCTGTACAAATTATTTTGAATTTATCATCGAGAATACCAAATGATTCAATATTTTCAAACATAGTAAATAACCGACCAGAACATATTTTAAGAATGTGAAGAACGACCGATAAACGTTCAACTCGTTCCATTGATTTTTGATAACAACTAATTATACAGAAACTTAATCAATTAATGCAATAAATAAATAAATAAATAGGCTACCTTGCTAAAAAATCATCTTCATTCGATTTGTCGGATGACAGTATATCATAATCATAAATCACATTTTTAACAAATTTTTTTGCTATATAAAATAAAAAATAATCTATCATTTATGAAAATAATAAAATTACCTTCGTCGTTATAGATGTATTCTTCTGTGTTACGATGTAGTTTTTTAGTTAAATAAAACAAATGACCGAGTTTTGGTATTTTTTTATTTGGTTCAATTATTTCTCGGTTAGGACGATGCTTATATGCAACAGCAATCAAAAACCGATTAAATAAACCATCATCATTTTGATCTTTCTGATCTTGAGATTTTAAAGCAATACCTAATAAATCGAATTATAAAAAGACATATTTATTTTTTTTTAAATAGTTTACCTGTTAAACATTCAATTGTTCGTTTTGGATGCCCAGCTGCTATAATATTTAATCGTGGTTTAATGTGTGAGTTTTATAGTCCAACTGGTATTGTTCGTCGACAACTCGTTAGTAGACATAATGTCATGATTAAACCACGTTCATATGCAGTTCGATCAACACGTGTGCTTCCGAAAATACCAAAGAAAACAGATAATTCATCCCATAACTAGAACAATTTTATTTATTATATTTAACTAATACAAAAGATATCTAACTTGTAATAAATTCGGTTGTTGTTCCAATTCACAACATAACGATTCCATATTGACTGATGCATTGATAGATGACTTTTTGACAGGTGTACCATCTAATGCTTCTACAGCTTCACAAGCTTCTTTTACTATTCTTATAGATGCACTTTTTTTAGAACCTAAAAAAGAAATCATAAATGATAATAACAATAAGTATTCATAATATTTTGTTAATCGTCTATTTTTCTACTAATAAAAAAGTATGTAATAAAATTATGAAATATATTTTACTTTAATATTTTATCAAGTTTTATATTTTAACTATTTTCAAAATTTAAAAAACATACCACTTCCTCCACATAAAATACCGAAAAGAATTAATGGTGTATTATAAGCTTGAGCACCTTTTAATGAAGCTCCCATTGTCCAATGACAAAGGGCAATAATTGTTGTTAAAAAGATATAATCTATTGAAACATTAGTTGTTTGAGCAATTTCATTTATTATTAGAAATGAATATTCATCCAAAATAAGTCGTAGATCTAATTTTTCAACAATACATTGTTTCACTCTACGAATACGTTCACATTTTTCCATACTTCTTAACAATTAACAACATAAAATACATATAAAAACAAAGATATAAATAATTGCTTACCTAAATCAAATAATGAAGAATAAAATCTAAACAATCAGAAAGCAGCAATGAATAATTAGATTGTTCTCTTAGCTATATAAAACGTTCTCATCTAATTATCGTCACTTCATAATTTAAATACGAGCGAAAATAAATTAATTATACAATAAATTATGAGAACGAAAGATAAGCCAATATTTAAATAAATACGATATTTTCTTCTTGTTATTTCTATATAATAATAACATTAAAAACAAATGTAATTTCATCTATTAAATAATAAAGTACATAAACTAAGAAAAAATAGAATCTTATTAATAGAAGGAAAAATTTATTTCAAAAACAGAAAAAAAACAATAATATATTATAAAAGAACTGGATATTATATTTTTCATTTCATCATCCAATTAAAATTAGAAGTTACCTGATTATATCACCTCAAAGGTAAAAACAAGAATTGAAAAAAAAAATATTTGAAAGCGCCATTGATTAATTGATTTTGTGTATGATTATAAACACGTTCTTTTGGAACTATTCGTACGTATTCTTTATTTCATGAGCTATTCAATTTATATAAATCTATCATACAATTTATTACGCTTTAGACAAAAAAAATCATTGATTTTGGTAAACACAATTACGTAAATTAGAATCTATTTATCTATTAATAATATAACAAATTAAAATTGTATATCTATTTTAAACAATTTTAAACAAATACTTCTTCAATTTTTTTATAAATATAATACAATATGTCGCATATAAATATAAATCAATCACGTAAGCTTAATTTTAAGCATTAACTTGCTCTTTTCATAAAGTTATTTTCTTGTCAACATATATTTGATAATTTATGTTTCTCATATCTCATAATGATATTGTAGCTAAACAATTATTTCTAAATATTTTCCCTTTAATTTTTTCCTTAAGATTGTGTATAGAGGGAAAATATAATTGTATTTTATTATTTA